AGGTGCTGCTAGGGATGCGAAATCGCGCACGAAACGTCTATGGTAAGAAGCGAGCCCCAAGAAGCTACGTACCTCCTCCTCAGATTTCGGCTGCGGCCAATTAATGATGGCGCTCGTTTTTTCCTTATCTGTTGCTACCCCATCTTCTGTAATGCGATGTCCTAGGAAGAGTACTTCTTTCTGCAAGAGTCGACATTTGGACGGTTTCACCTTTAAATTGTGCTGCTTAATACGCTGTAAGACTGCCCTTAAGTTGGCATTATGCTGTTCAGGTGTGCTGCCATACACAATAATATCATCAAGGTAAATCAAACATTTGTGTGGTACCAGACCATGTAGAACCGTCTGCATGAGTCGTTGAAAGGTTGCTGGGGCATTAGTTAACCCGAAAGGCATTACCTGAAATTCGTAGAGACCATTTGGCACAACAAATGCCGTCTTTTTTCTATCCTGAGGTCGTACTTCTACTTGCCAGTATCTGGATGCTAGGTCTAAAGTCGAAAACCAACACGCACCTCTCATAGCATCCAATGTTGTATCAATCCGTGGTAGTGGGAAGGAGTCGCGCTTTGTTATATCATTAAGGCGACGGTAATCTATACATAATCGAAGGGAGGAATCTTTCTTCTTCACTAAAACAATGGGTGAAGCCCACGGTGATGAAGATGGCACAATAATCTTTTTCTCTTACATCTCTTTTATCATTGATTCTAACTGCGGCTGATAGTGTACCGGTACTCTACGGGGTGGTTGACGTAATAGCATATGATCACCTGTGGGAATAGAGTGTTGTACCGTGGTCGTCCGATTACCAGAGATATTCTCTGAGAAAACAAAACTGAATTTTTGTAGTAAGGAAATAGTTGATAGACGGACATCCTCTGTTACTTGTTTATTAGTTTGTACCTGGTGTATGACTTCCGACACCCCTACGTAAGCTACCGACTTAGTTGCGTTCTTAAGGCGATGTGTCGGAATGGTTACTTCTCCGATTCGAGCTTCCGCCTTAGCTACATGTATAACGACGTCGTATTTTAACATAAAGTCAACTCCAAGTATAACATCCCAGGTGAGTGTGTGGCATACTAAAAATTCGTGTAGGAATGAGTGTTTATTCACTGTTACATCCAACCACATCTTAGACCGTACTTCCAGAAGGTCACCACCGGCTGTTTTTAGTGTGGAGAAACAAGGTTTTTGTCGGCTTATGCGATTCAATGTGCTTAAAAACCCTTCTCTCACAATGGATACTGAGGCTCCTGTATCCAGTAGAATAGTAGTCTGTATGCCCTGTAAACTAACAGCTATTGTTATCGGATATACTGATTCAGAATAATACGAAGACAAATGGGAAAATCTAGTCTCACCTTGTTTCCAAAAATTATTGTGCCCACATTTTCGGGCTTTCCGGCCAAAGCGTTGGCAGTAAAAACACTCCATCTTTCGGTTATATTGATTAGTTCTTAGCGGCTGTCTCCCGGGGCGTCGTTTGACCGCGGAAATCGTTTGAGTGAAATCGGACTGATGTGTTTCTTCAGGCTGTTCAATAGCATTCGCTGACAAATGCGGTGTATTGACAGCGTTTGATAGCTTGTCTGCAGCAACAAACCGTAGGACTGTGGTTCTTAAATCTTGAATGCTTTTTGGTGGCATGTAAAGAAGGTGCTGTCGTAGTGCACCTGGCAAAAGGCCTTCTGTGAACCGTGCGCGTATTATTTCTTCCCGTATAGAGACGTCTAAACTCGGGAAGGCTACAATTGCTGCTTGCTGCAAGGAGTGCAGGTATTCCATGGGTTCCTCACTCGCTTTCTGGTGACGTGACAGGAACTGCATGGTCCCCAGCTGTGTATCTACTGTTAGCGAAAAGCATTCACCAAGCACCTTCCAGTTTTGGGCAGACGAGTTGCTTGCGGTGAAACCGTTCGCAATCGCCATTTTTGCCGCTTCATCGTCTAGACACGACAGGAGCTAGTCCAAATGTTCGGCAGCTGGGACCTTACGTAGATACGTCGTGATCCTGACCTTCCAAATGGCATAGTCCGATGAGACTCCCAGTAGTGGTGGCTGGCGGATGATTACCCCGGTTGCTGGCTTGCTTGGAATGACCGGTGGTTCCTCATAGTTTGCATCGCGTTTTGACGTAAGCACCTCCATCACCACTTGTAGCACGTTGTATTTCGACGTTTACTTGGGAGCAGGAGCGACCTGAAACAGCAACACAACAGTCAGGACAGACAAGTGCGTCTGAAGTGAGAACACGGCGTGCTGATGCAGCAGATATATTTGAAATTGAAAAACGCGGTTTTTAGTACAAAAGGGGAAAGTTATTCTGCAGGTTCAGATGGCGTAGGACTTGTTCTTCTTCTTCCAGTGCATTCACTCTCTGTTGCCCTGCAATGAGAAATACAAACACACATTATTAATGTTGCATGTAATGATTTTTATTACCGTTACAGGTCTTTATTTCGATCTTCGCGCAGTCACAGTGGAGCGTGGGATTATCTGTTCAGACAAACAGAGCCTCTCAACATTCAATATAAGATAATAGGGAATATAACGCTTATAAAAAGTAAGGAAGTGAATGAATACTTGAACAATACTGTTTTAGCATATGCTTCGTTGTTTGGGGTCAACTCTTAACCAACCAACCTGAGCTGTTACATTCTCATATTCTCTAAGAAAAGTCATGGTCCCAGAAAATTGGAAGCTGGCTCATGTTTATTATTATTCTTTTTTAATTATTGGTTTACTTCGGAGGTCTATATTAATTACACTATTATTATCATGGTTGGACGCTTTCACTGAATGTTCAATTCTTCTCTCTCTTTTTCCTTCTAAATAAATATTATCCCTAAGTATTCGAAGTTTTCGATTAAGACAATAACTTGTTTTACGCTTCAGTCAACTTCTCATGCTCGTTTTATCTTCACTATGCATACACGACTCATACGTTTTGATCATCCTTTTCACTTGAGACTTTCGTAACATCACTCAAAACCATGACTGCACAGTTATTCCGACGTCATATATTATCGCAGTAATAAGTTATTTAATTATTAATTCATTTTCTTTTATTTTCATTGCTCATTTGACGATTCATACATAGTCGTTTATTCTTTTTCCGTGTTCATAAACACGCTTATTAAGCTATGTACGTGTTTCGTGTCTCCATTATTTCTATTTCCTTAGTTTCAGCCTTTCGTTCATTAAATCAAATGAATATTCTTCTCACTTACACAGAACCTGTGTTATTATTATTGTTCTGTTATACATATTTTCTTTTCCTTTCCTTTCTCTTTTTCATATATCGTAAATATATTGCTAACATTATTGAAACTTGTGTATTATTGAGTTTTTAGAGAAACCCGAAATGGTTTCTTCACAACACTTATGTACCCACAAGATGTTTGTGAATAATAGTAATAGTAATATCCTTGATCGCAAGGAGAAGATTGACGTAATGTAACTTGCCATCTCAAAGGCTTTCCGTAGGGTTAATCATAGATGCCTTATCAAGAAGCTCAAACGGTTAGATATCAAGACACCGTTAATTGACTGGCCAGCTTCATATATAAATAATCGACTTTCAAGGTCGGCGTAAGCTTCACTTTTTCTCAGGCTACCGAATGTTCTAGTAGAATCCCTTGGGGTTTAGTGCTAGGATCTTTTCTCGACTTTTATGAACGACCTTCTTCATCAGGTGTCGTTTGGTTTAATACTTTTCTCTGACTATGTGAGACTCTGGAGAGAAGTATGCAACCAAGAAAATAAGCTGGCGCTTTAGGAGGATCTGAATAAACCTCAAGATTGGGAGAATAATAACGGATTTACCCTTAACACTTCAAAGTGTAAAGTAGTCCATCTGAGATATGCAACACTACGAATACAACTTAGGTAACTCTCCTCTAGAGGTATCTTAAGCTGAGGAAGATCTAGAGGTGTTGGTACTCTACTATCTGAAGTATTACACTAACTATGACAAAAGTGCCTTTCGAACAAACCTTGTACTTGTAGAGCCAGTAAATATCACTGACCCCTTGCCAAATCATCCGGCAGTCGGGTCACTAAATATCGAACAGATCGTCGATCCCTGTAAAATTCAAGGACAACTGACGAGCATCAGTTGGTCGTATGAAGTGAACTAGCCCATGCTATGGTGGTCTCATTATCTGCTGTGTACTCATCCTAACTAATATATTTCCATAGTAACGTACTTTGTGTTATACGGTCTTCAAAGCCGGCATGGTATTTTGATGCGTCGAGGGGGTAATCCAAGTTAGGTACTGACCACGAGGTGTGACTTTAAAGTTAGTTATTGGTGACACCATTACCATAGACAGCTCGAGTGGGCTCCCAATCATTCGACATAGGCCATCTACCCACATACACAAATTCAAGTCTTAGAAGAGCGTCTCTAGTTACTGAACTTTTACCCATTAGAATATAAGCGTCCTAGAGGTGACCTTACTGTGAAATATAGCACCCTAAACACTTCTGGGTGTTCCCTTAAATACCTACGGACAGAATAATAAGGACTATGGACGGTATCTCGTTGTAATTTACTAATATTTTTTTACCATTTATCATTAAATATCCTCAAATTCCAATATGAAGGCATCAAAGATTCACTGCCACCAGATACGGATACCTGGGAAGTGAAGGCTTCTTCCATTTTGTCTGTAACTATTTAAACCATTTGGAACTTTAGATCGTCAACAAAATGAAAAGCGGGACGTTTGTTGTCCAAGGCCACTTCAAGGTTTTGGGTTGGTATGGCTGAAGGGAAACTAAAAATCGGTTCTCGTGTTGAGGTGACAGGAAAGGATGTTGTTGGTACCATAGCATATATTGGAGCAACACAATTTTCACCTGGTGAATTTCCAATTCTTTTTTTACTCTAAATTTAGGAAAATGGGTAGGAGTGATACTAGAGGAGTCTAAAGGGAAAAACAATGGTACGGTCCAAGGGAAACGCTACTTTACTTGTGAAGAGAATCATGGAATCTTTGTGCGGCCATCCCAGGTTCGTCTGTAATATCTCTGGAAACTCGCACGTATGCTGCCCAACTTTAATTTTGTTCTTTAGTTCCTGAACATCTTAGCAGTCATTTCGTAGAATATAGCTACTAAGGGAGTTTCTTGTAGCACAGAAAATCTGTTAAATTTTATTTCAACCGTCTAGATGAATACATATTGATATTAATAAGTCTGTTCTTTCATATATGTTTGACTCTTATATACCCACCACAAAGTCGTCACTACGCAACCTATTCCACATAATCGATTATACTACTGTTAACATCACTACTCACAGATAACCTTTAGGCATTAATAATTAAAATTTTAAGCATCGCTGGGTATCAGTGTAAGTGGGTTGGAAATGGAAAGTCATGTTGTGTAGGGAAGATAGATATTACTGGCTAAAACAGTGGGTCAGGATCGAGTAAAACAACTCATGTTCTTTCGTATTTGTCTTCTCATCATTTCATGCTTTACTGATGTCCGTTCCCTTTTTGTTGATTATTTATTATTTTGTAGTTTCAATATCTTCATATTTTCTATTTCTTGGATATTTGAATGTTCGCACCTTTATCTGGGATTCTATGTGCATGTATCTCTTCTATGGAATAAAGTCATATCTGTCTGTCAGTCACTCAAAGACTTCTTGAGTTCAAACCTGTATTTAAAATTCCATAATCGCTTATCGATTTTATTGCTTGACTAATTGACTAAATTTTTTCGAAGGGGATCACATATATCGATCGAATTCCTTATTACGTATCTAAAATTCTTTTAGCTTTCGTTGAAATTGCTCCATTTATAGTACTTCCAATATTCTTTTATATATAAATAATGCCTGGTTTAATGTTTTTAATGTGGATCGCGACACCTAATGTTTGCCTCATGGAAGTCGTATCATGACATAACATGGATTCGGAATTCACATGCTATTCATTTCAATTCACCTATTATACCTTGATTTACTTGTAGATCTATTTAAAATATATCAATCTAGTCATTTGAAGATAATGACATTAATTTATCAATCTTATCATACCTCAGAGTGAAAAAAGTTTCCCTACTTTTCTTCATTTTCCACTTTGCTCTTTCAGTTCGTTATCGTTTAGTGTTTTGTTTACTGATACCCCATTTTTGTTGTAGTAATAAATAAGGTGTTTTTTGCCTTGCTGTGTTATGTCAACCACATTTACGAGCTTTTTATTTTAGTAGACTTTGTTATCGGCTGTTTACCATTCTGTAGACTTTTTGGAAAATCAGACATACATTCCACAAATACCATGTTAGTGGTGATGTCCCTTGATACTTGTATGATGATTGTCTGTCGGACTGGCTGTTAGTCATCTTTCCTCACATTTGACCATCCTTCTTGACAACTATTTTCATAGACAATAATATTGAGAGGTTTTTAAGAGCACCAGTTTGTGTACTGACAAGTTAGTACGGACACTAAAATAAGATGGACAGATCCGGGAAAGTGCCTCGTCCCGTTTTTTCATGTTAGAGAACATATCTCATTGGTTTCGTGTGTTCGTAATATTAGTTGTAGGACTTTCGTCAAGTAGCTCAAGTAAAACCCTATAATCTGGAGTTTTCGCTTCCATTCTTGTCTACCAAAGATACTTATTGACAAAGGACCGCAAAGGAAGACAAAAGAGAAATATGATATTTGGTTCCATCACTAGTTTCTTTATTTTAACCACATCTTCAGACTAACCTGCAAATGCTTCTTAATTACATTTTCGTTACAAAGTTTCATGGTAAGTACTTCTACCTATTTCCTATATGGAAACATTAATATATGGTTCAGTCTCAAATGATAATCTGAATCACTAATTTTCCCACATTTTTTCATCCCTTAGCTTACTCTTCTGGATGACCAAGATGGATCAAGCACAATGGATTTATCTATTTCAAGCGTTCTATCAGAATCAGGCACAACTTCAGAATCTAATACATCTAAGTTATCATTAGGTGAAACTCCTAAACGTACAGGTTCTTCAACTTCTTTGTCCAGCAGTTCAAAACCTGAAATGGCAAAAGGTATAACATTTTGCAGTCCATTTTCAAAATATTCATTCAGGAATGGTTTTTCAGACCCTAATGCTATTGATAAATACTCTGGTTTGCTCTTTTATAAGTTAATATATGATCGATATAAATATCCCATTACTCGTTACTAGTGTGATTCTGCTGTGGTTGATAATCAAGTGTCCATTGACTCCACTGTGTTAAATTATCTTACATTGTAGTGCTATGTCCTGCGATTGATTAGTACACCACGTATACGTATTTATTTATTTAAACACATAAATATTGGTACAAGGAAGCACCAGATATATATGCGCCATACAAATCTCATTCGATTTGCTTGAGGGCTGTAATACTGCCCAGGTGCCCAAACTGAAGCAGGTGGTTTTCTTAGGGGGCCACACCCGGAGCCTTTGACCTAAAGATCTGATCCACAAGGCAATGGAGCGTCGTGAGGAGATGCAGTCCCATGGTAGCCGTTGACCAACGATTGATTCATAGGCCATTTGTTCCTTCAGGATACTGTAGCCCATGTGCACCATTGGTTTGTAATCAGGGTTTTCCAACTCCCCTAGGTGGACTCGCCTTGTCCACCAACCCGGTTAAAGCGCCGGACATTTGCTTTTCGTCCTCTCAATTTCGTAAACAACAGTAACGCCACGAGAAGGCAGTGAGTAGGACTTCCCTGGAAGAGGCTATATATTCGCTGGCCATGTGAGAGCATTTCGAGAGGGAGAGCGGACTCTCCCCACTTTCGGCCGTACCATGGCATTTGGGGGCCCACGTATACGTTTGCGTACCCGGCTCTAAATTACTCAACATATTATTGAACCTCGTGTTTAATTATTGAAAGTGCAGCGTTCTAATCACTAAGCCACCACTTCCATATGAAGACTATTTCCTGAAAATACTAAAACTATTTATCGCACTTGTTAACAATGTCGGTGGGGTGTATTCACTGTTTTGAAAGGGATAGTGCTTCTTCCAGAGTTTAACTGGCATCTCATCGTCAACCTTAACTTCAAAACTTAGATACCGATATATCAGTCAGTCAGTCAGCGACAACGTAGGACCAGGCACATTTATGCATCGGTCCAAGTTGCCATACCTCGTTAGCACAACAAGATGAACACCGGATTCATAGAAGTAGTTAATTTAGTAGTGTTAATATATAAAAGAAAGGTTGTGTATAAGGCTATAGTACAGGATGGAAGACAGATATGAAGCGATTTTAAACTCAAGGTTTAAGGGAAGATAAAGAATGTATACACCTACGCCATTGTGATCGATTCTGAGCCATGTCACACAGAGTCTCCAACCATTGGTTACGATAGTCACGCGAACCCCAACCAAGTAGTCTGCATCTACCAACATGGCTCAGACCAGAAGTTAGTGACTTCTAGCACTGCTACCACGTTTCGGTTTGGCCGCCCTTAACTCTCTTCCAACCATCCCCTACACTAGTTAGCATAGCGCGTCTTGGTAATCGGTGTTCAGGCATACGTAACTCGTGGCCTAACCATCTCAGTCGATGAAGATTCATCACCTCATCAACTGATTTACCATCATTCCCTAATACCCTGCGTCTAACCTCACCATTACTTACCCGGTTATCCCAACAGATGCGAGCAATATTTCGAAGGCATCTGTGGTCAAATACTAGTAACCTACGAGTATCTTCTACTCTTAATGGTCATGTTTCACAGCCGTAAAGTAGAACAGAACGAACTGCTGCGCAGTATACTCGTCCCTTAATTGATAGACGGATATCTCGTCTTCGCCATAGGTGACGTAAGTTGGCAAAAGCCAAACAAGCTTTTCGAATCCGTGCTGAGATTTCGTCAGACACCAACCCATTAGGGCTGATGAGACTTCCAAGATAAGTGAAGTTGTCCACGCGTTCGACTACTTCACTCCCTATCCTTAGTTCAGGTGTTGATGCAGGCCAGTCCTGGAGTAACAATTTACATTTGGATGGGGAGAAACGCATCCCAAACATCCTGGCGTTATTACTGAGTTCCAACAGAAGACTCTGCATTTTGTCAGTGTCTTCACCAAACAGGACTATGTCATCTGCGTATTCTAAGTCGCTTAGTGGTCCCCCTGGTAGGAGATCAATTCCTGAAAATTCAGTCGACGAGAGTGTTATTTCCAGCAACAGGTCTATAATGAAGTTAAACAAAAATGGGGATAGTGGACAGCCTTGACGGACACCACTTGAGGTTGTAAAATCATATGACAGTTCGCCATAAGCTCTCACTCGACTGATAGTGTTCGAGTAAAGAGCCTTCACAAGGTTTATGTACTTCTCAGGTACACCTTTCAATGACAGACACTGCCACAGAACCTCTCGGTCTACAGAGTCAAATACTGCTTTCAAGTCAAGAAAAACTATCATTGTCGGACGCCGATAAGCGTGTCTGTGCTCTAAAACTTGACGAATGGTGAATATGTGGTCGATACAGCCACGACCAGGTCTGAAGCCAGCCTGATTTTCTCGTGTTTGCAGTTCACGAGTCTTAGTTAGGCGCCCGATAATTATTGAGGCTAGTATTTTAGATGCTATGTTAGTCAGACTAATCCCTCTATGGTTATCGCAGGATGATTTTGACCCCTTTTTATATATTGGGACAATCAGTGATTGTGACCAGTCGGATGGGATTACATCCGTCTCCCAGATTTTAGCCAGAATATTAGTCAACCTAATCGCTAAAATTGGACCACCGTATTTAAAAACCTCTGGAACCAATCCATCAGGACCAGCTGCTCTTCCCCGTTTCAGATTACCTATAGCCTTTTGAACTTCAAGTAGGGTCGGGGGGCCTACTTCAATGTTCCATTCAGGTTTTCTGGGAATAGTGGGTAGTTGTGCAGTAGCTGAAGGCCAGCTAAACTGCTCCTTAAAGTGTTCCGCCCATCGTTCTAAACGTTTGGGTTGAGAGCAGATAAGGGTTCCGTCTTTTTCCGAGATTGTCTCACTTACACTTGACTTCTTAATTCCGGTTTCTTTTATTAGTCTGAATAGTTGCCTGGTGTTGCCTACAGCCGCTGCCTTTTCCATCTCTTTTGCTTTCGTTGCCCACCACTGCTCACGATCGTTCCTTAGACTTTTAGTTAACCTAGATCTAATTTCTTTACGCTCTTCGTCGTGTTCAGAGCCTGATGGGATGAGTTTACGCGAATCCATCAGTGAAATAGACTTGGAAGAAATCCATTGGTTTTTTGGAGCCCTAAGGTTTAAATGATTAATAGATGTTAATGCTGTTTCCACAGCTGTTCGTGTGTCTGTCCAAGCAGCATCTGGGTCAGTCTCGTTTACAGAACTGCCTAGATGTGAACTCAGTTGTTTCTGGAATTCGAATTTGGCTTTCTCGTCCTCCAGTTCAATCCTAATGGGTCTTCTTAGTGTACTTTTCCTGCGTCCATTGAGGCGCAGACAAATGCGCGCTCGTATTAAAGCGTGATCAGAGTCTAAACAAGTATTCCAATACGAGCGACAATCTTCTATTGAGCCTCTCCAACGATAACTGATGACAATATGGTCTTTTTGAGTCCGTCGTTGGTTTGGTGAAGGTGGTCGCCATGTTAGACGATGTCTCTCCTTATGCTTAAAATTAGTGCTTGCTAAAAATAAACGATTGTCTGAGCATAGTTGCAACAGACGATCACCATTATCGGTTCGTTGAGCCGGAATACTAAAACACCCACCTAAATGTCTTTCTGTTTGATTTAAGTTGCCTAATTGGGCATTAAACTCACTCGCTACGACTACTATGTCTGAGTACTTAGCTTTCTGAAGAAGCTCAGAGAGTTTTCTGTAAAAGTCATCTTTTACTTCATCATGGCTGCAGTCAGTGGGAGCGTAGGCAGAAACAACGAAAAGGCAACGACGTGTGTCCCTATCCTTCCGAGTTCTTACGGAGCCATTTAGCCGGACAGCACACAGGCGACTGTTAACGGGGATCCATTCTAGTAGTGCCTGTTCTGCCCTTGTACTTAGTGCTATGCCTACACCTGCAAGTCCACGAGAACTAGCCAACGGGTCGCCAGATACACGGAGGGTGTATTTCGTTGGTTGTCCATTTTGGCGAGGTGAGGTCAAGTGAATGACCACACTGGGATCCTGTATGCGTGTTTCGGAGACACAGCATACATCAATGGTACGAGATTCTAGGGTTTTGGCTACGAAGGCCTGTTGACCGATTTGGCATAGGATACGTACGTTGAAGGTTCCAATGTGTAGTTTGGAGCGAGGTTTTAGTAGACCTGGGACAGCGTTTCGCGCACTAGAATCGTTGGCCATGGTGACACTTGAGGAGGAAACCGAGAGAGGAAGTTTAGTGTTGAAAGTCAAGGTAGAAGGAATAGTAGGAATTGAAGAAGGAGATTGATTATGAATACAGTGGTCTTGAGTGTTGTTAGAGGTATGAGGGCAGTTATCACTTCCCGGTTGCCCACACCGTGGAAGGGTTCTTCTAGGGGTACCTGAAAAGGAAATTGGGTTAGAAGTGGTCTTAATGACCTGAGAGCGTGACCGCAGTGCCCAAGGGACAACTGCTTGAGGTCGGTCACACACGACCTTTTTGTGGGTAGTTTTTGTGTTAGCTCCGTTCTTCAAAGGACCTTACCGCCGGAGACGGAAATCCGTGGGATAAGGCGAGGTGTGCATTTTTAGGATCGACCTTTTCTAACCCCACCCCTCCTTGTGGGAAGGCAGCATCGCTGTCATACTGGTTGTCTGAAGAAAACACCTTACTGCCGTCACACCTCTGTACAGTCGGCAGTACGACTTCGCCTTCGGACCTTGGCATTGCTGCTTTTAGTCTTACCGCTCTTCAACCGACCTGTCTTGCATGGTAGGACCTCGAGGAACGACTGTTCCAGCCAGTATAGCTCGATTGCTTCATCACGATAGGCAAGCCCGACCACCACGTCAAGGTAGCAGCAACGGTCGGGATACCGATATATATATATATATATATATATATATATCGATTTAAACCACACTGTTGTCCACTTTAAAACGGGATAATATAAAATTGCAGACGAACTGATAAGATTTCTATTAATTTTTTAATTTGATGCTGTTGGATTGGCGGGGGGGGTTCTGATAAGTTTTTCAGTAATACATAAAAGCTGTCATTAGCCGGAAGATTATAGAAAATGTACCGAAGCTATCGAAATTTCTGTCCTTTTCAGGACTTTCTCAATTCTTTCTGGAATATTGCCTATGATTTTCAGGCTTCTCAGCTAATACGCTTTTAATGTGTGACTCAACCCAGCACTCAAATTTTTAAACTTCCACGATTGTTTCACAAACCGCAATCGTCCTGCAGGTATGTTAGCCAGTCAGTCGCAATGTGGAACCGGGTGTATATGTACATCGGTCCAAGTTGATGCACTCCATTAGCACAGAATGATAAAGTTTTCAGCCCGAATTTCGTGATAGTAGAGATAGTAACATTACGCCGGGAAATAGAAGCAGATATGAAAAGGATGAATAGAAACTGGAAAGGAAGACTCAGGACAGAGTTGGATGGAGAATGCTGGTGAGCGGCCTATGCTCCTCGACCAGGAGTAACAGGCGTAAGTGAGTAAAAGATAGTAACAGTATGAGTGATGATTGAAAAAATTAAGCTTCGAAGATACGATTTAATAAAATACAAGTTGGTGAAAGGAAAACAAAAAACAGTTGTGATGGATTCAAAAGGTGGGAATTCGGGGGAAGACAAAAATGGATGCACCAACGCCATTGCAAACGATTTTGATCCATGTCATTTAAAGTCTCTAGCCATTGGTTGCGATAATCACGCGCACCCCAGCCAGGTAGTCTACGTCCATTCACGTGGCTCAGTCCACTTTTCATTGACTTCTTGAGCTGATGCTTTGTTTTGGTTTGGACGCCCCTGGTTTTCTTCAGTAAGTATCTATCTTCAATTTTAGTCGTCATCTCTTGTCAATCGTGATTTTCTGTTTACCTCCTGAAATGATGATGTTTCGTGTAAGCATCTATCAAATCTTAGTTCTGTGGTCAAAGAATAACATAATCTCTTTGGGGCACGAAAACTCTGAATTCGATGTCAAAATAAGTAGGCGGTGTGGTGTTCCACCAGATTTTATCATTGTAACAAAATGGTTTTTGGTCAATCTCATATTTTAAGTAGTTCTTCATGTCTGAGTTGCTTCAGACTTTTTAAAATCTTGTTTCAATATTTTACAAAGTTTTTTCTTTCCATTTTTAACCCATCTTCCACGAAATTCTAATATCATGTATCCACAGGACGAACTTTACAATCACCAGCTCTCAAGCGCTCTTCTCTAGCTAGTTCAACACCATCAGTGAAGGATAAGCCTAATCTATCTGTCTCAACGGGGAGACGTACGTTCTGTTTTCGTTGAGTGCATGTAAAAAAACGCGCATATTCATTAGCTCTAATCTTACATTATCTAACACCCATAATATGCCTATAATTAACTCTCTAATCCTAATGACTATTATTTAAATGTGTATCCCATCCTAATTCTTATATTTATACTACTATTCATGTATATTTCATAGGTCCACCTGAAATCAGAAAAGCGTCACAAGTAAGCATTTGTTTATTGTCGTTCAGTTTGTTTATTATGTTTTTCACTTATTTGTTAAACGGTTCGACCAAGTCCCTGATCTGAGTCCTGTTCACCTTATTCGGTTTGGGCATCTGGCTAGTATGATTAGCTTTCATACTTAGATTGCGACTCATACTCATGCAACTTATTACTTGAATACAATATAACTTAGTAGCTCATTTTTGCAGACACATTTGTAAATCTTTGTTTAAAGCATGAATTTTTAACTAAAACAAAGTATTCATACTATGATACATGAAGTTGCTTAGTTTCCATAGTAGTTGTCGGAAAACGAATGACCATTATTGCTATTATTTACCTCGCAATCAGGTCAAATAACTGGACAAGATATAGGATCTCATCATGGTGTGTATCTATTCAATTTGTAATACTATAGGGAAAGCCCCCAAATTCCCTGGTACGGCCGAGAGTGGGGAGAGTCTACTCTCCCTCTCGAAATGCTCTCACATGGCCAAGCGTATATAGCCTCTTCCAGGGAAATCCTACTCACTGCCTTCTCGTGGCGTTACTGTTGTTTACGAAATTGAGAGGACGAAAAGCAAATGTCCGGCGCTTTAACCGGGTTGGTGGACACGGAATGTCCACCTAGAGGAGTTGGAAACCCTCATTCCAAACTAGTGGTGCTCATGGGCTACAGTATCCTGAAGGAACAAATGGCCTATGAATCAATCGTTGGTCAACGGCTACCATGGGACTGCATCTCCTCACGACGCTCCATTGCCTTGTGGATCAGATCTTTAGGTCAAAGGCTCCGGGTGTGGCCCCCTAAGAAAACCACCTGCTTCAGTTTGGGCACCTGGGCAGTATTACAGCCCTCAAGCAAATCGAATGAGATTTGTATGGCGCATATATATCTGGTGCTTCCTTGTACCAATATTTATGTGTTTAAATAAAATAATAATAATACTAAAGGGAAAATAAATGAAAATTAACCAAAAGGGAAAGTCATTAAATAAAAATAATAACGATGCTAATACATTAGTGAATAAATAGAAGAGAGAGAAGAGACAGCTGAAACTAATGAAATCAAAGAATGAAATGCATTCATAAGTGCTTCGTCTTATGATAACACGTAATTAAGGGATTGATTTATTTGCTTTCTTTTCGCTTATTTTAAAACTTCTTTTGGAAGAATAACCACATCACTCAATCTCTCAAACCTCGGTAGATGAGGTCAATATTAGACTAGTAACTTAGGCTTTTAAAATTTGCTCGAACTATCAGGCTACGCCTCCATATATTTTTATTTTATGCATATAAAATATGTGACATATCGGCACCAACGGATAGATGTTAGTAAACTGGCTGCAACTTCTGTTGCAAGTAAGTATCGAGTGGAGCTAGCCTCTAGGCTAGCTAACACCCCACCGAAAAGTATAGATGAGCATTGGTTGCATCTTCATGACGCCATGAAAATGGCAAGTAAAGCCGCTTGCGGCTTCGCGAAACGTCCCGCTTACAAGCACTGGGTTTCTTCTGGCTCCTTACAACTGATGGAAGCCCGTCGGTCTACTCCGGGTGACCGTGAGTTTGACCACAAACGAAGGCTGTTACGTAATGAAATCGGGCAAAGCTTGCGTAAGGACCGGGAAGCCTGGTGGTCGGAGCGTGCTAATGAGATGGAAGCAGCAGCTGCATCTGGTAACTGCCGGAAGCTCTTCCAACTCATCCGAGCCACTGGCAGCAAGGAGTCTGGTGTGAGTGAAACAATCTACGAGGATGATGGGATGCCAATCACTAATATCTCTCGACGTCTTGGACGATGGGCGGAATTTTTCGAAGGGCAGTTCAACTGGCCTGCTGCTCCGGCAACATCAACCAGCTTGTCCTGTCCCCCATGGCCGGCGACGACTGATCCACCAAACGAGGCGGAAGTCCGCAAGGAATTCCAACTCTTGAAACGTTACAAATCACCTGGCCCAGATGACTTACCTCCGGCTCTTTTTAAAGATGGTGGTGACCTTCTGACTAAGGAATTGACTGTGTTGTTTAGAAAGGTTTGGGAAGAAGAAAGTGTTCCAACATCATGGAATGAGTCAATCGTCGTCCGTATCTTTAAAAAGGGTTCACGTTGTTCCTGCAATAACTATCGGGGGATAAGTCTACTTTCGATTGCGTCCAAACTATTGGCTTCTGTCATTCTTCGTAGGTTGTTTAAAACCCGAGAACGATTGACTCGCGAGGAGCAGGCTGGTTTTCGTTCTGGTCGAGGATGCATTGATCACATCTTCACCCTCCGCCAAATGTTAGAACACCGTCATACTTATCGCAGGCCAACAATCGTAGTGTTTCTTGATATCAGGGCGGCCTTCGATTCGTTGGACAGGACTGTTCTCTGGGATTGTCTATTGAAGAAGGGTGTGCCTGAGAAGTTCATTAACATCTTAAAGGCCCTGTATACGAACACCTCAGGCAGAGTGAGGGCATATAACCACCTTTCTCCCTTGTTCCATTCAAGCAGTGGGATTAGGCAGGGTTGCCCGATCTCACCATTCCTCTTCAACTTTGCTATCGATGACATCCTGGAAACAGCTCTGATGGATGTAAGTAATGGCGGTGTGGATATGTTGCCTGGAGAACGACTTCTCGACCTCGAGTATGCGGATGATATTGTCTTACTGTGCGATAATGCCCAAGGCATGCAATCCGCACTTAATCAGTTGGCAATCAGTGTCCGCAGGTACGGCATGTGCTTTGCACCCTCCAAGTGCAAAGTACTCCTACAAGACTGGCAGGATTCTCATCCTGTACTCACCCTGGATGGTGAGGAGATCGAAGTAGTTGAGAAGTTCGTGTATCTAGGTAGCTATATAAGTGCTGGTGGTGGCGTGATTGATGAGATTGATGCACGTATAATGAAAGCCAGATCGGCTTATGCCAATCTGGGCCATCTTTGGCGCCTTCGTGATGTTAGTCTGGCTGTAAAAGGTCGGATCTACAACGCGTCGGTGAGAGCAGTTTTGCTCTATGTTTGTGAAACCTGGCCTCTCCGAGTTGAGGATGTTAGACGTCTCTCTGTGTTCGATCATCGTTGTCTCCGAAGGATTGCTGACATCCAGTGGCAACACCATGTTAGTAATCCAGAGGTTCGGCATCGTGTGTTCGGGCGCAGAGACGGTAATTCAATTGGTGTCACCATCTTGAAACACCGACTTCGGTGGCTTGGACATGTTTTACGAATGTCGTCCCAGAGACTTCCACGTCGTGCATTATTTGCCGACCCTGGGACTGGTTGGAAAAAGCGGAGAGGAGGTCAGTGTATGACATGGTGTCGTGGCATGAAAGAGAGCTGCAAAGGGCTAGCTTGTGTTGGTCCTTTACGACTCCCTGGCTGGGGTCCGAGAGATGGTGCAATACAGTGGCTAGAGACGTTATCGGATATGGCTCAGAATAGAAGCCAGTGGCGATCCTGCTGCAACCTTCTTTTACTTTCTTCATAAAGAGTGGTTCTAACTTTCTTAACTGAAAGAGTTTTCTGGTTGTACATTTTAGTCCGCCTTATCTTTTCATCCTTTCTCTTCCTACTTTCATTATTTTGTGTGGCGCATATTTATCTGGTTATTTATTTATTTATTTAAACACATATATATTGGTACAAAAGGGCACCAGGTACATATGCGCCACACTATTTGTGTGTGTGTGGGCTGTGATACTGCCCGGGTGCCCAAACCGAAGCAGGTGGTTTTCTTAGGGGACCACACCCCGAGCCTTTGACCAAAAGGTCTGATCCACAAGGCAGTGGAGCATCGTGAGGAGATGCAGTCCCATGGTAGCCGTTGACCAATGACAGGTTCGTCCGCCATTTGTTCCATCAGGTTACTGGAGCCCATGTGCACCATTGGTTTGTAATCAGGGTTTTCCAACTCCTCTAGGTGGACATTCCGTGTCCACCAACCCGGTTAAAGCGCCGGACATTTGCTTTTCGTCCTCTCAATTTCGTAAACAACAGTAACGCCACGAGAAGGCAGTGAGTAGGACTTCCCTGGAAGAGGCTATATATTCGCTGGCCATGTGAGAGCATTTCGAGAGGAAGAGTAGACTCTCCCCACTCTCAGCCGTACCAGAGCATTTGGGGGCATGTATCTGGTGCCCTTTTGTACCAATTTATATGTGTTTAAATAAATATATAAAATAAAAACCAAAAATGCATACTCTGTACAAGTCAATGGAAATGTTGGAGAGGAATGGTGAGCTTTGAAAATCCTATCTAACCTTACTGGGAGATTAGAACAATGTAGAGAAGTGGTTGAATGCGTTTATTTTTCATAAAGTGTTCCTGTATAAAGCCTTGAGGATGTTACTAAACTTCTCAGGCCCATTGTTAAAGAAAACCCAGGCCACAGTTCTGTCTAACGAATCAAAATCAGCCATAATGTCTATAAAAATAACTTTTTTTTGTCTTGCAGTCATTTTGGCGATGTTTTAGCATTTCTCGTAAAATGAAAATATAATCAATATATCCATGACCAGATTAAAATCCGACTTACTCTTCACAAGTCAGTTTTTTACAGACCATCATATAAAGCATTTCCACATCGTTACAAAAATGAGCTGTCGAAAGGGTGTGGTTTTACTTCATGTTACCAATACAGTCCTATAGTATTTGACAAATTAGTTACATCTATTACATATACTTCTACTACTAGTCATGATAGTTATCGTAAACAGTTACCATATTTTTCTGTTCACTGTATATTGATCAAGATCAATTAAATAAATGAGTTTGTTTACACACATGCACATATGACTTTTCTTATTAATTACTTTTTGCTCCTATTTAGTTCATGTGCCTTGTTTTTTCTTTTAATTTGTTAAAGTAATCCTTATGTCTTATATTCTAACTAGCCTTCATTAAAGCGACCTAGTATGGTAAGATTGATTTTTTTTTCCTTAAAAAAATATTACACTCAAAAGCTTATTGACGCGCTGTTAAAATCTTAACACTTTATAAATCGCTTTATTTTTCAGTTTGGTAAATTATAGCTATTTTAACGGATCGATACAAATTGAATTCTTACTTACTTACTTACTAACGCCTGTTACTCCCAATGAAGCATAGGCCACAGACCAGCATTCCCCAACCCACTCTGTCATGGGCCTTCCTTTCTAGTTCTATCCAATTTTTTTTCATTCTTCTCATGTCTGTCTCCATTTATCGGCGTAATGTGTTCTTTGGTCTTCCTCTTTTCCTTTGGCCTTCAGGACTTCACGTTAGGGCTTAACGTTTTAAAATAACATTCAAATAATTGTTCTATTGATAAGCTACTCATTGCCTTCTCGTGGCAGGGGTGTTTACGAAATTTTTTCTCCATATGTTATTTAATGAATGAAAATTACCTTAAAATTTCTTGCAAAACCTTTCCGAATCTTAATTTATCATATTAGTCAGTACTGTTAATCAGTATTTCAGTAGTCTATTCCATTCTTATATGGTCCAAGGGTTATTTCCTAAGGATTGGTAACTCCTTTATTACAAATCTCCATTTTCATTAACTTGAAACACAAGTTGTATTATTTATTTCTATTGAATACTACTTATTAATCTAATAATTAGTGTCCCTCTGAACAGCATTTTATGCGTACTTTTTGGTTGAGACATACAATCAGATCTCGAAGACTATACCTTCAGTATTTTCTTTGAAGTGAACGGTCAATTTATTCTAAATTAAATGATAATTGAGATCATCAGTCCACAAAACCCCCTTTTTATAATGATCATATGCTCACTAGTGACTGGCTCCATGAGGTATTTCCTGGAGTTCTAGTAAGAAGCAGTAACCAGTGGAGTTCAACCAGGTCTGTTGGGAGATATCAACTCACTGAAGACATTGGTGAATGGTTGCTCAATTTCGTGGATTGGTTGAAGTTAGACATTAAAACTGTTGGATGCCGGCTGACTCAGTGGTCTATCGGTTAAGTGCTCTGGTGCGGGACTGATAAGTCCTGGGTTCGAATCTGGCGAGTCGGGTTCGTGGATGCGCACTGCTCAGGTGTCCCACAATAGAACGAAACGGCCGTCCAATGCTTCCAGGTTTTCGATGGTGGTCTAGCTTCAATTGACTCATGATTTCAACTATATAAAAATTACTAAAATCTCCACAAACCCCCCTTCTGATAAATGATAATTACTGTTAAATGCTGAACCTATTACATTTTATTAAGTAAATATCTAATTGAAAATCATTTTGTATTTCATAACCCTGCTCGCTTTTTCTAAGTTTATGAGTCGTATATTCCTAACATGTTATTTATTTCTGATTCATTGTATGTACGTATTTTTATTTGACAGTTGTATTTCTAGAATGTTTGGCATAACATTACATAACGTATATACGATCATCTAATCTTGCTTTACTAATCTATTTTTTAACATCTTCTACTCCCTTCATTGATCAAAAACATTAATATTCACTATTATTTTCGCTTGCTTTATTGTTTCAAGATCCCATCAACTGGATCCAATCCAGACCTGGTACAAAGTAATGTAGCGCCAATTTCGAAAAGTGAAAGTCCTCCAAACAAATCCACTGAAAGTAAATCTGTTAAAGAATTCATACAACCTAGTGGTGATACGTTGCCGAAAACCATCCCATCAACTATAAAAACAAGTGATCCTAAACTACCTACTACTACTGATGGTAGCAAAATACCTGAAGTTTCAACCATTACAGGAGCTAGTGATATTAAAATAACTTCACAAAAACTAGAGCTTGAAAATATATCTATTAAGCCTAAGGATAGTTCTCATAAAATACCAAGATCGTCTGTTGTATCAGGTGTTGTTAGTTCGTCTGCTGTTGTAACAAGTGACGGTGGTGGTACTCATTCACCAGACACAGAATTGGAGCTAACTAATCTACGTGCTGAAATAACAACACTACATGATCAAATTGAAGCCTTAAAAATGAAACGAGAAGAAGATAAAACCAGAATACAAGAATTAGAACGTATCAAGATTCAATTTACTCAACTCGAAGAAAATCGACGTCTAATGAGAGAACAAGCAGCTGAATTACAGCGTGAAATCGCACAACTAAAAACAGTATGTTTTTCTTATTCTACCAATTTTAACGAATAGCTTTAGTGTGGTATAAAACTATCGGAAAGTGGTCATATCTATATATAAAAAACTTCCCCTACTGTCTCTTCTTATAAAATGCTGTTGGTATTAATTAATTCATCAACTCGATTCTTTGAGTTTCTAACCAACCATTTTTTAGTTCGGTTATCAAATGTGAGCAGATGGCTTACTGATGTTAAAGCATTTAACTTTCGATCAATGACTTTTAAGGTGGCACGTCGCTCCGTCTACTCTTGTTTCATCTGATCAATAATTCCCTTATTTCTCATATTTAATATGAGGGACTCAAACTATATTGACTTTTGATTGTGGTGCAGAACCTTAGTTGTTGAAATATTCGGTTTTAAAACGGTCTTTTTGAGGTTCCCATTCTGGTTCTATCTTTGTTAGAACTAAATATTGCTGAAGACAGTATAATAATAAGAAAAAATAACAATTGTATACATTTATCATTTGAAGAGTAAAGCCAATCGGAATTCTTATTAATTGAAATAATAGTATAGTTCTACTTCTTAACAGTGAATTAACAAGAATTATATCAGAAATCTATCGATGGTTAGATACCTTGAATGACATGGCTCAAAATCGTTTGCAATGGCGAAGGTGGTGCATCCACTCTTTGTGCTCTTCCAAATTCTAATCTTCTGAATTCTTTATGTCGCTTTCTTTTTTTTCTCTTTTCAAATTTATTTCACTGGATTATACTCCTTGAATAACATCTTCAAACCCTAATCTTTCACATTAATGCTTATAATCTTACTACTTCTACCACTATGGGATTTGAATCGACAACTGGATCTCTGTGCTAATGTGGTATGGCAACTCGAACTGATGTACGTATGTACTAAGTTCTACGTTGTGACTGACTGACTGACTGATATCAGAAGTCTTGCTTAATATAGTCATAAGATTCTTTATTTTCTGATCAAATTAATCTGTCTTTTTACGCTCTAAACATTTATATTCGCATTAATATTTACATGATGATTTAATGTTTTTTGAAAAGGTGATTCTAACAGTGCTTCAGTTAGTTCTATATAGAAGGTCGAGTTTCTCAACAATTGTCAAATAAGTATTGTTCAATATTGTCAGCTACATATATCTCAAAACGATGACATAACAGTAATAAAAGACTAGACTTTCATGAACATTTGACCTTAAGATTCGATTCCCACTCCACTTAGTTCAGGTTAGTTAGTTATTATGACCATGTTTTATATTTCCACATGAATATTGCATAAGTGGACCGCTACAACTTGATTGTTACATTTCACTAATTCACGAAATAGTGATAATTTTTGTTGATTGTGTGGGTCACAAATTGATTTCAGTGTTCCATTAAAAACCTGAGAGGACTAGAATGCTTTTCCATCGCGGTATAGGACTTCTGAGTCAAGTAAACCCGGGATATACAAGTATTTTGTTCAAACACTTAACCACTGAATCAGTGTCCAATGATACAATTCCTATTTCAGTCGATTTGTAATAAGGCCCAATGAAACAGTTGTCTAATGTATACTCTCTAGTTTTCATGGTTACTCTAATTTAAATCAATCTATAACAAATACAATCTACAAATTAAATTAATCTTCACAAAACCCCTTCAACTAATGATGATTTTCTTTATTTATAAAAAAATAAAAAAAGGAAAAAGCTGAAACTAAAGAAGCATTTGATCGTTATCGTGATGAAGTAGCTGAAATGGTTGAAAGTGTAGAAATGGCTACGTTAGATAAAGAAATGGCAGAAGAAAAATTAGAATCATTAACTACAGAAATTGAATTATTAAAAGAACAAGTAGAAGAATTAACACTTGAAAATCAAATTTTAAAAGAAGAATCTGAAGAGAAAGGTTAGTTTGTTCATATATTTTAGTTATAATCAGTATTTTACGAAGATGGCTGGAGTTGTTTTGAGTTACGACGACAAATTCACGTCAGAGCGCGAAGTTTGACTGTATGATGGCATTAGGCTATTTCCCTTAGACAACCATCATGTGCAACGATTCTGCTTTCGCACACCAAAAGATGGGGCTAGCAAATTTCAAATTTCAATATAATATACACTGCCTTGGCAGAAGAATTCCTGGTAAGGCTTTTAAAGTACGGAGCTAACACATCTGGAACTAGTTACTCTTTTTCAGGTACTCCGACATGAAGTATCTTTTCATAGTGTGACAATCTGGAAAGTAAAAACCTTCCACTCACCTCAAACGGCACTCGAGATTATCTTGCTGTTATATCCAGATGACATTAGTACAGGATCGGCTCCATATCATAGACTAACATAGTTTAGAAATGATTTTCATTGCGTCCCAGTTCAACAGCCTAATATTTTGGTATTTGCGTTGAAGGTTTTTGGTTTTAAAAGATGTAGAACCTGGAAAAAATGTTTAGTCAGGCAAAATTGCCACACCGCCTCATCACAGTAAGAAATTTTCAACGTGAATTCCAAAGCAATTATAGTATCAGTTATAACAATCAAACATTAGGCATAGGGAATATAATTCATGAAGCATGGATGAATCCGCAGAATTAAACAGTATAAAATACTTTTGAAACTAAGAGTCTAATTAAAGATAAGGACTGAATATATCTGCATCATGGCATTCAATTATGTACCATGCGACACAACGTTTTCAGCCATTGATTACAACAATCGCTCGGACCTCAACTACTCTCATTTCCTGTATTATACTTTGTTGTAATGCTGTCCGTACATGTTGTATAGAACAAAAAATCTGTCAATGCCTCTGTCGTTATAAAAGTGATTTTTAGGCTTATGTTCATTGATGTAAAAAGTCGTCTCCAAACTTAATGAATTAAAACACACATACACATTCACCAATTTCTATAGAAGATAACTATTTAAATTCACTTAGTATTGTTTGTTTGAATCTTCCCATTGATGTTTTAGGACTGCAACTCATCAGTCTCTACTTGGCATATATGCATACTGTACGTGTTGCCTCGATATAGCCTAAATTCACAAGCATGGTAAGCAAAGAAGTATAGTGGCTGGCAGTGGGATCCAGGACGCGCGTTTTGTCCTATCTGGGACTCGTCAGCTGGATGTACCTGCATCTCAGAGTTGATGTTCACTCTGGGACTCGGACCCAGTACCTTTCGTTTCAAACGCCATCGCGTTATCCACTCGACCACTGAGTCCTGATAGCCTGTATCTTAAAGTTTTTTTTGTTTCTCTTCCTTATTGTGATAGATTACATCTTTGGAATCTGAAATTAATAACTATTTAGTCTAAAATTAATCATTTACTATTCTGTATAAATTTTTACATGTTCTCGCACTATTTTTTCACATCAATCGATTACCTCAGCCTTTTGTTATAACCCTTTATCTTTATCTCCAATTGTCAAATCTGTCGTTACGCAACTTTTGAAGTCTCTAATATACACAAGTTTCCAGTTAATTAATAATATCGATTATTTAGGTTAAGATTTTTTAAAAGTTTGTTCAAATCGCTTGTATATTCGGTCCAACATATTTCATTAAATAGTGATATAACTTTCGACGAGTTTTGGATTTGTACACTCAACCATATGGAAAGATTTGTTGGTCTCAATAATAGAGTGACATTATTCCACTTATATGTACAGTTTAATTTGTTTAATCTGGTTGGCACTTTTTTTTAGCAAGATACTCATATATATTTTCATAATTTCAATAAATTTGTTTTTGTTTTTAAACGTCGACAGGAGGAGCCTCCACTCTACCTGGTGCAGATGGTGGACCAACTCCATTACAATTGAAAAATCTTGAACAACAAAATGAACGAATGAAACAAGCATTGGTTAAACTAAGAGATTTAACTAACCAAGATAAACAAGAAATAACTGCTTTAACTAAACAAGTAAGTTTTTATGGTGTATGAATGAAATTTAACCATCCAATATATCATGGTGAATTAGTTAGCTATCTGTAAAACTTATGGTTCATTTAACTCAATCACTTCAAATAAAATCTCACATTATTAGGTTTGTTATATCTTGTGGCCGAGTGGATGCACAGTTAATGTATGACGTGATAAAACCTCCAAATCAGAGAACAGCAAATTATCGATTGGAACAGCGACACACGAAAACCATGTGAACAGTCTAGAGTGCTTATCGGTCCTGCTTTCCGCCTAACCCAGCCAGTTAAATCCAGAACACCAATAACAGACTCTGTGGTATGAATCATTGTATTTCAAACATACTGAGTTTATATACCAAACAGACTGACCACATCGTACCAATAAAATAAAAAATAACATTTGTATAAGATTCAGCCAAATGTGGCTGTGAATGTGGGAGGCAGAAATTAATAGACAAGGGATAACTTAAGAATGGTAAATCGTATAACAATAGTCTATAGGTCGAAATGAAGCTTATAATAAGAGGAACATGAATATGAATAGTTTAGTTATTTTTAGCGATCATACGATAAAAATATATGCATAATATTGGTCCATAAATGGATCCCAAAGTTACCATTCACTATTGTTATCGGAATATAACAACGTTACGTGTTTTTTAAAAAAAATCCACTCTACATACTCAATTAGCAAACAGTTGATAGCTTTGCGTCCAGTGCTTTTTGGATTCATCCATCGACTCATGTGAAATTATGTGACATAAACTTCATAGCTAGATTCAAAGAAATCTTTTTTAAGCCACTCAATTACTCAGTTTTTTTCTATTTTATTTAAATACATAGATATTGGTACAAAGGCGCCCCAAATACATATGCGCCATACAAATCTCATTCGATTTGTGTGAGGGCTGTGATGCTGCCCGGCTGCCCAAACCGAAGCAAGTGATTTTCTTAAGGGGCCACACCCGGAGCCTTTGACCTAAAGGTCTGATCCACAAGGCAGTGTAGCATCGTGAGGAAATGCAATCCCATGGTAGCCGGTGACCAACGATCGGTTCATAGGCCATTTGTTCCTTCAGGATACTGGAGTCCATGTGCACCATTGGTTTGGAATCAGGGTTTCCTAACTCCTCTAGGTGAACTTTCCATGTCCACCAACCCAGTTAAAGCGCCGGACATTCTCTTTTCATCCTCTCGATTTCGTAAACAACAGTAATGCGACGAGAAGGCAGTGAGTAGGACTTCCCTGGAAGAGGCTATATATTCGCTGGCCATGTGAGAGCATTTCGAGAGGGAGAGCGGACTCTCCCTACTCTCGCCCGTACCAGGGCATTTGGGGACAATATCACCTTTTTCGTAAATAAAATAACTGTCATTACATTAAATTTTTCGTGAATTCCTTTGAATAAGTGACTTCTTTCAATATATTTGGTATAAGATTATCAGTAGTATCTAGGACATGAGTTTCATACCGATTTGGAATTCATTAGCTTGATGTTACTGCATCCCTTCCCCCTCAATATCGATGTTGACACTAGGACTTGAACAATAAATCACAAACTCTTGCTAATAAATTACTTCATGTATCTCAAAGTTCTTTTGTTTTTCTTCCTTATTGTGATAGATTACATCTTTGGAATCTGAAATTAATCAGCTTCAAACAGAGAAAGAACGTTTAACTAACGATTTAAAAGGAAGTATTGAACAAACTATTGAATTGAAAGAACAAGTAGATGCTTCACTTGGTGCTGATACAATGGTTAGTCAATTAGCACAACGTAATCTAGAATTGGAAGAAATGCTTGAAAAAGTTAAAGAGGAAAGAAATGATTTGGTGAGTGTGTATGCATCTATACATGACTTTAGTTCAATTTTAATTTCGATCATTAAGTTGACTTTCATTAGTTTTTCCATTGATATACAACACAAATAAATAATTTTAATACTTGAGATCATGAATCAATTGAAGCTAGACCACTATGAAAAAACGCGGAAGCACTGGACGGCCGTTTCGTCCTATTGTGGGACTCCTCAGCATTGCGCATCCACGATCCCGACTCGCGAGATTCGAACCCAGGACCTATCAGTTTCGCGCGCAAGCGCTTAACCTCTAGACCACTGAGTCAGCCGGCATCCAACGGCGTTAATGTTCAACTTCAACCTCTCCACGAATAAATAATATACTTAATTTACCCACAAAAATGATATTTTGTGCTTTAAAGTATTGTCTGTTTCAAATAAAATGTTACAGTTCGTATTCGTTTATAGCTTCTACCTGAATTAAGTCCATACAGAATTTATGCAATCTCATTTTTAAAGTAACCATTGACTATCGATCAACGTTGCTAGACAGAGAGAGAGAAGTGAAGTGCGTAGGAAAATATTGTACCAAATAACATTATTTACACCTAGAGTGACTCCGATATTGACCATGTAGGTTATAACTTTTGGGCGGGTTGATAAATGAGTTGATTTTAGCTCAGTTAGACTAACATTTTCATTATCAAGAATGGTGTTAATACATTATGTAGTTCGATAAGGTATGTCTCGTTCTTCTGAACGACATCATCAGCACAAACTTCAAGTGGAAGTGAAGTATTCGAATGGCTCTACATATGACTCATAGCTTGCCCTATAGACCTTAGTCTTGATTGGTTATTGTTAACTTTTAACCTGTCATTGCTTACTTTATTTTGATTGTATCTCCCATTAATTTGTTTCTTCGTCCTATATTTGCCCGTAATTTTTCTGACTGGTTGTTAAATTAGATCGATTTCAATGTGCTTGTTGATTGCTGAATGATATGAGTACCAAGCTTCTAAAACATCCTCTGGTGTTGTTAGAATTCCCTCTCTCTATGATCTCAACATTTTTTCTAGTCGAATGTGTGTCCACAGTTGTTCACATGCATCGATATAAGCGAGGATATGTCATTACGTTTGACCGCTAATTGAGATTCGTACAGAAGAAGATGAAGGAGGCGTCCACTTTGTCCGATGTAGTGTTTTTTCATTTGGTACAATTTATTTTGTAGATGATGTTCAGTTTTTCTTCTTTCGTCATCTCATCCTTTGGTTTACCTAGGATTGATTAAAAACATTATCATAAATCTGAAATGTTGAGAAAAGCGATATTTAGAATTGTAAAAATATGACTTTGTACACCTTATTTTTTAATCCTCCTTTTTTCTAAAATAGGAAGTACTATGTGAAATGAATGATGAATTACAAGAGAATAGTCGTGAAACTGAACTTGAACTTCGTGAAGAAATTGAACGAGCCAATACACAAATAAATCAACTTGTACGTCATTTAGATGCTACACGTGAAACCATTGCAGATTATGAACAAACATTAGGTAAATTTAGAGATTTAGTCGCTGATTTACAAACTCAAAATTCTGATCTTCAAAGATCATTAGCTGATGGAAAACGTTTACAAGAACAACAACAACAACTACATTCAACAGTTTCAACAGAATTTGCTAGTTCTGCAGTTTCATTCATGGGAACCAAGTTTGGTGCTACTTCTCAAGCACAAACTCTTGCTAAAGTAATTAATTATTATCATCACTATGGTTCATTAACATTAATACAATGTTACTATTGTAACATTCATTCTAGTTACTCATTGGCATCGACTGGAAAACTACACCTAACGAGTTACCACTGGTAATTGTTTTTTTCTTATATAAGACATCTTGGCAACACGTACTTGTGACTCTGCTACTGATCTTACCCAGGAATCTTCGGCTTCGCTACAAGCTCGTAGTGGACCATTAGTAGAGCAATGGCTTACTTGTCAAAATATGATTCAAGAAGTAAGAAGTTAATTTGTAGAATTAAAGAGTATGAGTGTGTTAAGACAAAATGTGAATGGATCTGTTCCATTTTAACAGATTCTGCTCCATGTCATCCAGTTATCATTCGTAACTGTTGGACTACTGGTTAGTCATAACACACACTTTAATTACAACTGTTGTTTACAATAGTAAAATAAGTCATACACAGTTTATCCATACTAGATATTCTATAAACCAAATTGGAAATCATGCGATAAATATATTATTCACTTCATTTTGCCCTTAAAAGTATAACTACAGTGCATTGATTTAATGATATCTAAATATTTAGGGAAAGTGAACACAAGTGAACTGAACTACTTTTTATCTTTAACTCATAAAATTGCAACTCATCAGTAAACCTCATTTGTTTTTTTTCTCTCAACGAGGAACCTTAGGGGTTAAAGTAAATTTCTTTCAACCAGTATTTATTTATTTATATTTATTTGAACACATAAACATTGGTACAAGGGGTCACCAGATATATATGCGCCACACAAATCTCATTTGATTTGTGTGAGGGCTGTGATACTGCCCGGTTGCCCGAAACAAAGTAGGTGGTTTTCTTAGGGGCCCACACCCAGAGCCTTCGACCTAAAGGTCTGATCCACAAGGCAGTGGATCTACATAAGGAGATACAGTCCCATGGTAGCAGGTGATCAACAATAAGTTCATTCACCATTCGTTCCATCAGGATCCTGGAGCCCATGTGTACCATTGGTTTGGAATCAGGTTTTTCCAACTCTCTTAAATTGATCTTTTGTATCAACCAACCCTGTGAAAGCGCCTGACATTCGCTTTTCGTTCTCTCAATTTCGTAGAAACACCAGTTCTGCTAGAAGGCAGTGAGTAGGACTTCTCTGGCAGTGGTTGTATGCACGTGGTCATGTGATAGCATTTGGAGAGTGAGAGCTGACTCTCTCCACTCTCGGTCGTACCAGGGCATTTGTAGGATCCCACCTCCTTCGTACTGCAGTTTAGTTGACCGAACGGTGACTTTAGCACACTTCTACAAAGGGTGTAGTTCATAGCCATATACAATAATTAGAATTAGGTTGATGGCTTATATATAAAGTATATGAAAATTTTCTTACTTTTCACTTAGGTACTTCATAAATCGCTTAACTCTTTCATATAGATAGTTTATTAACATATCAATATCATATATTTTATAACATGGGATGGCCTTAACTAGACAATGATTGAAAACCAGGGAGCGATTTACGGTTGATTATCCATGGTGTTTGGGCTCCTCAAAAATGTGCACTCACTACCACACCAAGAATCGAATCCAGGACTTTGAGGTCTCGTGATTAACTCTTAAACTCCAGACTGATGAGCCATAATCGAATAGTGTACATATCTAACTTCAGTCAGTTCTTTATGTTGCTCAACCATCTAATGAGGTTGATTGATAATTGCCTCGTATCCGACAAAATTGAACTCTATTGTATTCACTGGCCTGACTATAGTTTATGGACGAACCAATCAGATTTAGGGTAACAGGTCTTGGACTTTGGTGCGAGATTCTTTCATCTATTTGGCTAAAAAGCGTCTTAGCATCATAGCTGATGTCTGTTCGTTATGAAAAACCTAAATCTTACTCTTAACCCTGACCACCAGCCGTAAATCATAATCCTGATTCCTCACACTGGTTAATAACCCTCATTCAACACTAGTAAGTAGGTGAACATCGCTTTAAGGTCTTCCATAAATTATAGTTTCATCTATTTACTTGTTTCGAAAATCTGTATTGATGTTTTCATTGGAATATAATTTGTCGTCAGTTATATCATTTTGTTAATATCATTCCTGTTATTCACTGAAATCTTTCAACTTGACCCTTCTTAACATTGATTACATGCAATTCTACCATCGTAATTATTTTTTTTTTACTAAAATCACCATACCTCAGTAGTGTATTCATCAACTTCCTATTCACTATTTTGTTTTTGTTCTTTTCATCTCTGTTGAAAGGTGATTGAAGCTGAACTAAGACGTCTTGAAGCAGAACAAAGTGCAAATCATGTAGCTCGTTTATCTGCTTTTCTTCCGGATTCATTTTTACGACGTGGTGGTGATAATGAAGCATTATTAGCGCTTCTCTTAATCGATCGTCTAACTGGAAAGTGTGACCTATTGGCTAACCATGTGAGTAGTTAGTGTGTTATGCTCTGTATTATTATTTTTTGTTCTTTGTGTGAGAAAATATATCCAGAAACAGTATACTTTAATTTTGGTACACTTATTTTTACTCAGAAACTATTGATGTCCCTATTGGAATGTCTCATAAATATATCGTGTATTGGATTTAGATCTGACCTCATATTGAATGAGAGCATATGTAGTATTGAGTAATTATCTTTCACCCCTCTATACACGTCATATGTATATTGGTTAGCCAGTGATTTATGATGGTTCAACTATTGAAGCAGAAACATAGCCTATCAAAGGAGAAGATATACTTAGTCCACATTAAGTTATTCATCCTGCTAAATGACCGTTCTTTTTCACCATACTACCACTAAGCTACTTCGTTTACCATAAATTCTTTATCTGACAGTAGTCCAATTTTAAACCATCGACACACATTAGACTTATTTCTTTTTTAATTTCAAACTCGTCAATGTGCACACCCTTGGCACCAAGCCGATTAGACTTTAGGACTTTATAGTTTCTCAACAAATACACTACTTGTTCAGTTTATAATGTCAGGATTCATATGGTGATCGTTATTTCAACTGAAGTCATTTGCTAACTCAGTCGATTTTAAGCAATGTTTATTGGTTTGTAGCAGTCAAACCCAGGATTCGCAAAACCTCTTAATGATCTATATGAATGTTTCTCTCTCATAGTATACAACTGTCTCTAAAATTCCGACCCAATGTATTTCTACGTAGACTACGGAGTCACTAGAACTAACGTGTCTAAACAAACTAATCCTTGATTTTCAATGAAATCATGAACCGATCTAAGTTAGACCACCATTGGAAAACCGGAATCATTGGATAGCCGTCTCATCCTAATATGAAACTCCATATTAATGTGCAATGCTTTTAGGTTTTTAATGTTAATCTAACTTGGATCGGTTCATGATTGCTACAAAATTCAACATTCTCCACAACCTCATACTGAGAATAATCTTTCATTGGCTAGTAGTTATGCATCTTGTACGTTTTATATAGTCGACTAAATTTATTTTGTATATGAATTAATCCTACTTTGTATTTGATTGCTTATTTATATCTAGTTCACGATTAAATAGTCGGATAAGAAAATGTATGTGGTCACGTTATTTTAGTATGTCTCAAGTTATGACAGAAATATATTCTTTATCGTAAAATGGACAGATTCTAAATTCTTCTTCGAATTCGATACACTTTTGAGTTCCATTAGACGGAAATGTTGCGTTAAGTTTCATCACGTGAACAAATAACAAGTGTTGATTCAGCTTAACATAATATTTCCGTCCATTAGAACTCAAAAATGTATCGAAAAAGAAGAAAACCTTAAAATTCTCATGAGCTTCCAGTTGACTACCTGAGGCATGAATGAAAAGGATACATAGTAGGAATAACTGGTGGGAATTATAATCAAGGTTTTCTCATGACATAAGGAGTTTTAACTAAAGACCGTGTCAAGTTTCTGTTTCTCAAGGAGAGTTCATTTTATCGTCCTAGACGCAAAAGAGAACAATGACACAATAGCGTACGTGGTTGCATAGTTGATAGTAATTTAAGTGCTTCCAATTTAACCCACAAATGCCCTGGTACGGCTGAGGGTGGAGAAAGTCAGCTCTCACTCTCCAAATGCTATCACATGACCACGTGCATACAAGCACTTCCAGGAAAGTCCTACCCACTGCCTTCTCATGGCAGTGGTGTTTCTACGAATTTGAGAGAACGAAAAGCGAATTTCCGGAGCTTTAACAGGTTGGTTGATAAAAAAGATCAAGAGTTGGAAAAACCTGATTCCAAACCAATGGTACACATGGGCTCCAGGATCCTGATGGAACGAATGGTGAATGAACTTATTGTTGGTCACTGGCTACCATGGGACTGTATCTCCTTATGTAGATCCACTGCCTTGTGGATCAGACCTTTAGGTCGAAGGCTCTGGGTGTGGGCCCCTAAGAAAACCACCTACTTTGTTTCGGGCAACCGGGCAGTATCACAGCCCTCACACATATCAATGGCAACTGCTTACTGGCCTCATTGTTATCGTTTGGTGCATATGTACTTGGTGACCCCTTGTACCAATGTTTATGTGTTCAAATAAATAAATTAATTAATTAAACTTGTACTTAGAGGAGAAAACTTTGTTCCTGTTTTGACTAACGTTTGTATTTTTCGACGCCTTGGGCCGAGGAGCTTCGGAAATCAGGCGGTTGTTTGATCTATCAAAGAAGGATAATGTCTGCCAGTTCGTTGTGCGGAAGACTGTCCGAGTTAAAAAAGGGAAGAAATAGCGTTCCAATGACTCAGGATTTAACAACACTTTTTAGATTGCAGCATAATCGTTTCAGGTATTCACTGAAGCGTCAGTGCATAAAAACCCTCATCAAAAACACACGAATAAATATATATCCTATTGAAATGTTGCCCCCAAATGCCCTGGCACGGCCGAGAGTGGGAAGAGTCCGCTCTCCCTCTCGAAATGCTCTCACATGGCCAGGGAATATATAGCCTCTTCCAGGGACGTCCTACTCACTGCCTTCTCGTCGCATTACTGTTGTTTACGAAATTGAGAGGACGAAAAGCGAATGTCCGGCGCTTTAACTGGGTTGGTGGACACGGAAAGTTCACCTAGGGGAGTTGGAAAACCCTGATTACAAACCAATGGTGCACATGGGCTACAGTATCCTGAAGGGACAAATGGCCTATGAATCAATCGTTGGTCAACGGCTACCATGGGACTGCATCTCCTCACGACGCTCCATTGCCTTGTGGATCAGATCTTTCGGTCAAGGGCTCCGGGTGTGGGCCCCTAAGCAAACCACCTGCTTCAGTTCGGGCACCTGAGCAGTATCACAGTTCTCACACAAATCGAATGAGATTTGTATGACGCATATATATATCTGGTGCTTCCTTGTACCAATATTTATGTGTTTAAATTAATAAATAAATAATTGAAATGTTAATAAAATTTACTCCCATTATAATTTTTACAGTAGCCTTGATATTGTTTTTTATATCAGTTTGAGGATTTGTGGAGATTGTAGTATTTTAGAAGTTGAATTCACTAGTCGATCTAAGCGAGACCACCATTGAAAACCTGGAAGCACTAGACGGCTGTTTCGTCTTAACATGGGACTTCTCAACAGTGCGCTCAATGTTCTAGGGTTAAGCGTTCGCGCGTGAGATTCAGGGTCCTGGGTTAGAGTGCCGCATGCAAGCACGTGGGTTCACACTGCTGAGGAGTCCCATACTAGGACTAAATGACCGTCCATTGCTTCAGGGTTTTCAATGATTGTCTATCTTAGATCGACTCGTGGGTTCAACTGTTTTTTATATCTTATTTTTTGAATGTAACTTTCAAATTCCGATCATAATTCAGTACACCAATCTGTTTATTATGCTCATTTACTTTATTACTCATCCAACTTTTGTATTGTTGTTTTCTTACTTTCATTCATTAAATCTACTTAAATTCAGCTTGTTGAACGTTATCCTTTACCCCCTTGTGTACCTGGTCAAACATCATTGCAACTTCCTCAAACAGATAGCAATGCTGTAGATAGTCAAACGACTACTGTTAGTGGAATTTGTATTCCAGGCACTGATAATCCATTACCACCGTTAACTAAAAGTAAAGCAGAATTTTACAGTTTCATAACAAGATTAATTCATTTACTTCGATCAATGGGCTCTTTATTAAATCAGTACAAGCAGTAAGTATATTCATACGCGCTATATTTATAATAATATTTAAATCCCGTTCCGGTATTTTTGCAGTAAATCTGTTCAAGTATACCTAATTTTTGGTAAAATGACGACAGCGGTACTAGTTGAAATCCCTATTATTATGATATACTTACATATGCATATTTCTACTTTGATTTTAATTGAAGTGTCTCGATTGGATTAGCTACTAATGATTTCTGACTTATTAATCTGTTCTGTAAATTCATGAACTGAGGTCATAAAAGCTCTATCTTAAGAAACTCAGGGTATATCAGTCTTATTCCTGTCGAAATATTTATGGGAGTACGCTTATCTCATCTGTTATTCTACTGTTAGGCTCTCCTCAGCCCTCTTGTCATTGCACTTTTTATCGTCACTGCTTTGTTTCATTTTGCCATTTAAGAAGTATAAAAAGTCACAAAGGGCTAAACCTGATAAGTAGGCAGTTTGATTTACCATGATAAGTTAATTACAGATGAGAAGCTCACGAATAATCGCTGATAATTGTGTTAGCTCCTTCCACTTATCTATTACACAGATCTTTTCTATATAAAGAAATTACAACTTTAACCGTTTGGTAGGTAATTAGCTGCCAAAGTTGGGATTTATTGAGATGGTGGGCGTTGAAGTACCGTGTGACTGGGTCTCTGTTTAGTCGTGTCCATAATATAGCGATTTGAATACCTAAGTTCTTTTATTGATTAAACAAATAATGTCTTTCAGAACAACGATGAAAGCTGCACGACCGAACCATCCAGCTCAGAGAACAAAACTCCATCAAAATCATCCACCTGAGCTACAAATCTTCATATTATGCTAAGTTACCATTGTTTATTCGTATATGCGGTTATTCATGTTAATCTCAAGAAGAATATACCATTTTGTGATCGAGATCTATTGAATTCTAACAAAATGATCTTAATATGATCACGTCCACTGTGATCATCTGAATTTCCTTTGATCCACACTGTTAGTGACCAAAACAAGAACGAAGCGATTTTCCTGTACCTTTTTTGATTTTTATTTCTTCTGCAGTTTACGTCTATCTTTAATGATAATAACTGTTTCCCGTATAAAATCCTAGTTGATACTATACTAAATAATGTGCCAAACGTTTTCCTATCGATGACTTCCAGATATTTAACACTGAGTAATGTGGTATTTTCTAAATTAAAACTAATTATTCTATTATTCAATTTAAACCTGTTAAACCACTACCTTCATTAATTTCTTACTCGCTTCCTTTTTAATACTACTACTTATTAGTATTCAATAGTTTTCGCTAGTATCAATCCTTTTTAAAAACTTTTCTCTCAGAATGTTTCTTTACTGTATTGAACTATTATTGGTCGATAGAATTCGATCTGCATGAAGAAGGACCTGACACACATGACATTGATCACTACTTAGTGATCAATCGACTGTAAATACATCTCAGTCCTATAGGAGGTCAGTTACAGTCTGGATGACTCAGTGGTAACGTCTGTAGCTTTGAAACTGGATGACACGGGATCGGATCAGTTCCCTCAAGATTACAGGCACACCTTGCTTACAAGTGCCAAATAGTACGAAACCTAGGTCCAGGATTTCCTCTCCACTACCTCATGAATCCTATACAAATTTATTTTTATTTGAGATCATGGACCCATCATTGTTTAAACCATCATTAAAAACCTGGAATCAATGGACGGACATTTCGTCCTAGTATGGGACTTCTCACCAGTGAGTATCTACGATCCCGCACGTGGTATTCGAACCCAAAACATTCGGTTTCGCTCGCGAATGCTCAACCTGTAGACCACTGAGCAGCCATCCAACGGTTTTAGTGTCTAACTTCAACCAATCCACAATAGTGCGCGACGATCTTCCGTTGTCTTCGGTGTTGGAGCAGGTTGGAAGAAAGCTAGGGGCGGCCAGACCAAAACATGGCATAAATCCATGAAGTCGCTAACAAGTGGACTGGGCCGTGTTGGTAGGTGTAGACTACCTGGTTGGGATTCGCGAGATGATATCAACCGATGGTTAGAGACCTTGAATGGCATGGCTCAAAATCGTTTGCAATGGCGGAGGTGTATCCACTCTTTGTGTTCTACCAAATTCTAATCTTCTGAATTATTCATGTCCGTATCCTTTTTCTCTTTTCAAATTTATTTCACTGTATTATACTCCTTCAATAACATCTTCAAACCCTAATCTTTCACATTAATGCTTATAATCTTACTACTTCTACCACTATGGGATTTGAATCGACAACTGGATCTCTGTGCTAATGTGGTATGGCAACTCGAACTGATGTACGTATGTACTAAGTTCTACGTTGTAACTGACTGACTGACGGTTGTCTTCGGTGGGTAATGTGACGGGCGGTGTCCGAAATATGTTACTGATACACAGTGTGCTACGCACTAACCCCCTAACTGACTACTTGAGCGAAGACACAGGAGTAAGCCAGAAAATGTATTGGACCACTGAGTAAAATGCTCAAATATTCATTTATATATATGCCGCTCTAATCCTCAGGAAATTGATCCACTTCTTAGCCAATGTAATGCACTTGTGCTTTAGGTCACTTCTGATTGCCATCGATTGACCTTCTCATTAGGCTACTTCTGATTAGCTCTCCATATCAGTTAACTGCCTCACACTCGACACGGTTGAACTCCACTGGTCATGGCTTTTCACTAGAACTCTGCGAATTACCTTTAGAAGCTAGTCACTAGCAAGTACATAATATTTATCAGTATAAAGTGTGGAGATCTTCAAGTCTGTTTTCTTAATCAGAATACTATTTCTTCTCCATTTTCATCATTTAGTCATTGTATCATATTCATTATTTATTAAAACTTTGTTTATTTTGAACAGCATGTCTATTTCGAATGTTTAGCGCTTGATTCATTCCATTAACTGCTAGTACCAGTTTGTTACAGTCATGTCCTGTCTTCCTGTCTTCTAGTTTAATTATCTAATTATACGAAGGGTGTAGTTTCTTTTATGACTGTGCTTTCAACAACGTTATCAACGCTTGGACACCATAGTTCATGGTTTATAAATCTCTTTATTCCAATGTTTCACATGTGACTTGATTTTTGAAAAGTTTCTTCATGAATATTTAATAGTTTCATAGTTGAAATCTTGGGTTAGTTTAAGCTAGACCACCATCAAAAACCTGGAAGCACTGGACGGCCGTTTCGTCCTATTACGAGACTCCTCAGCAGTGCGCATCCACGATCCTGTACTCGCGAGATTCGAACCCAGGACCTACCAGTCTCTAGCCGGAGCCCTTAACCGATAGACCACTGAACCAACTGGCATCCAACGGTGTCCTGTGCTTCCAGGTTTTCGATTGTGGTCTAGCTTCAATTGACCCATGATTTCAACTATGAAAATATTGAATTCTCCACAAAATACCCCTCTGACGAATATTTAATGTGCTTGTTTTTTTATATATTTCTTTCAAACAGAATCTTTTCAGGTTGCAGTGTTGATCTCTATTTGAAATTTGGTTCTTTATATAATGAAATGTGTGTTCATGAACATTGTATTGATCGTTTAATAGAACAAACTAAAAATGATCAATTAGATGAGACAATATCATTAGAATCTTTGATAACATCATTTAATTATTTCATTCAATTATATAATGTTCATTTAAAAAATGAACCATTATATAATTGTAATATTAAATTGATGGATTTTACACGAACAATATTATCGGCAGTTGATGCATTATCAGTTGATTCTATGGCTTTAATGATATTAACAGGAAAAGATGTTGATTGTTTATTAAAAATAGCTAAAACTGCTGCTTCAAATGTTTCTGGTCCATTAAGTGTTGGTAGTATGGATGAAGTTGGTTCATTATTATTATTAAAATCTTCAACTAATAGCGAAGGATTAATTAATCTTCTTAATGAATTAGTACATTTTTCTACAACTGTACGTGTAATTACACGTCGAATAAAACGGAGAATACCAAATAAACCGGTTGGTCAACAACCATTATCATTTAATCAAGATGTTGCACAGAAATTAGATACAGTTATTCAATTATTTGATTCAATTGTTGGAACTATGTATACAACAACTCGTTTAGCAGGTCAATTAACAGTTCGTCAAGTGGTATGTTCTTTTTTTTCCCTGGTATAATATTAATATTTTGAGGATTTATTTATTTATTTAAACACATGGATATTGGTACAAGGAAGCACCAGATACATATGCGCCGCACAAATCTCATTTGATTTGTGTGAGGGCTGTGATACTGCCCGGGTGCCCAAACTGAAGCAGGTGGTTTGCTTAGGGGCCCACACCCCCGAGCCTTTGACCTAAAGGTCTGATCCACAAGGCAGTGGAGCATCGTGAGGAGATGCAGTCTCATGGTAACCGGTGACCAACGATTGATTCATACTCCATTTGTTCCTTCAGAATACTGGAGCCCATATGTACCATTGGTTTGGAATCAGGGTTTTCCAACTCTCCTAGGTGGACTTTCCATGTCCACCAACTCGGTTAAAGCGCCGGACATTCGCTTTTCGTCCTCTCGATTTCGTAAACAACAGTAATGCGACGAGAAGGCAGTGAGTAGGACTTCCCTGGAAGAGGCTATATATGCGTGGCCACGTGAGAGCATTTCGAGAGGGAGAGCGGGCTCTCCCTACTCTCGGCCGTACCAAGGCATTTGGAGCTGCGATATTTTGAGGAGAAGTGTGTAATACCCTGGTTACTTATGGCTACATTAAAAATAACCTTGACGTTTTTTTTACTTGTTAGCTCTTAACCAACGTGTAAACGAATTATTCTGTCAGTCTTAAATTATTCCATTTTCAATCATCATCAGATTCTAGTTTCGAACATACTTTAATTTACTTTGTTTCACAGCATCTGGGTGATAATAAGTAAAAGGGTGACTTAAATTTGAAAGCGTTGGTCTGTAGTTTTACTTAATAGATTGTATTCAATTTGTTTCTGATCTGTTTGCACCATTGTTGCGTTCGACTTTATTCTTCTCATTCGTTATTAGTTTATTTGTAATCCACCTATCGTTGCTGCTACCTTGACGTGGTGGTCGGGCTTACCTATCGTGATAAATCAATCGAGCTATACTGGCTGAAGCAATCGTTCTTCAAGGTCCTACCATGCCAGAGAGGTCGGTTGAAGAGCGGTAAGACTAAAAGCAGCTAACCAAAGGTCCGAAGGCGAAGTCGTACTGCTGACTGTACAGAGGTGTGACAGCAGTAAGGTGTTTCCTTCAGATAACCAAAAAAACAGCTATGTTGCTTTCTCACATCGAGGGGTGGGGTTAGAAAAGATTGACCCTAAAAATGCACACCTCGCCTTATCCCATGGATATCCGTCATTAAGACCACTTCTAACCCAGTTTCCCTTCCAAATACCTCTAGAAGAACCCTTTCACAGTGTGGGCAACCGGGAAGTGATAACTGCCCTCATACCTCTAACAGCACTCAAGACCTCTGTATTCATAATTAATTTCCTTCTTCAATTTTTACTATTCCTTCTACGACTGATTTGTAATCCACTGGCAGTGTTGAAGAGGCTAACGCATTTGTTCACTATCTTAGTTACGAAGTTATCAAATAAGTCCATGAAATTCGATAATCCCTTGAAATTGGCCATTAATCATTGATCAGTTAAATGTAAATATTTCAGTCGTACAGAATTCTAGTCGCAGCTCGGTTAGCTAAATGGTATCGTCTCAGTTTGTGTAACAGTGTGAAGTTAGTTTGAATCCCGCAGAGGGTACCAGTCTTCCCAAGATTGCGGGTACATCTTGATAACAAATGCTAACTAGTACGTAAGCTAAACCCAAGGTTTCCTGTCAACTACCCTCAACCAACTAACAGTTTAAGTAGACTAATTAAATATGATGATCAGCTGCAGTAACATAAAATACCTATTGTAACATTGATTTATCATTATTTCTTACATATTTCTCTTAATAGTGGTTTCATAATAATAGATATCCTTATCTGTCTACTTATTATTAATCTAGTAACATTTTTCATGTCTAAATTTCCACAGGAAGATTCATCCAATCTTGAACCAAATGTTGTATTTACTCAATGCTTATCAGAAGCTTGTAAAGAATACTTAACATCAATTGATCTTCGAACTAGTAGTACTTCACGTCCTAGTGTTATTTCACCAGAAATATTAATTCGTACTAATCTAAGTCAAATTGCTCGTATTATCAGTCAATTAGCAATAGCAATGGAAAATGGTGAATATGATTTTGATGGAACCAAACAACCATTGGTAAGTTGACTGGATTCACACATATTAGTTACTAAAATAAAGTTTGAAATTAATTTAATAACGCAGTCGTAGTAATATACACAACAGAAAGTTTAATTTGAAAACAACATTGTATAATGATTTAATCAGAAGGGGTTTTCTTGTGGAGATTACAGTTCGAATCATGCGAGGGGGGATCGTGGACGCGCACTGCTGAGGAGTCCCACAATCAGACGAAACGACCGTCCAGTGCTTCCAGGTTTTCCATGATGGTCTAGCTTCAATTGACTCATGATTTCATCTATGAAAATATTGATTTAATGTTATTTTCGAAGTCTTCAATTACTTCCATGAGATTATTTGTGAGTAGGAACGTTGGTTATAATGGTTTCGGCAGTTGGTTAACATCACATAAAATGTTACTTAACTGAAGTACACAAATTTGTACTTGTTAATCGAATTTCATTTTAAAACAATTTACAATCTGATCATTTAAAGAATCTTTCGTTGTAAAGTTTATGAGACTGGATAGTAAGTCTTTTAGGATTTATCAGTAATTTAAAGACCAAGTTCTTGTCTATAAAACCTTAATTCTCCATGATCGAATCCTAAAATGTATCGTTTGTCTATATAGTTAAAAAGAAAGTTTCACTGTTGTTTAACTGACATCAGAAACTCAACAAGGTTAACTAACATAAATATAACATTAGTTCTCGTTTATCGATGTGATGTTCCGGCCAAATTGGTTGTTAAAGCCTTTCTGGGGAGGCCTATGAAGGCCCTTGTGGAATGGATTCCATGTTTTTCAAGACTCACGAACCCGTGGATGTGGTTTTATGTGGAACCGAGGCCCCGCACTTGTTTGCGTGTATCTAGGTTTTTACTTACCCTGGATAGGTATAGTCTATATGCACACTACGTAACACACAGACCTTCATCCGAGTATTCCTTGGTATACATAGAGGTATAGCTACCCTGTGAACAAATATACATTACATACATACCGGTAACATACAGGTTTTAAACCATGCACCCGATAGCATACATATAGGTATATTTACCCATCTGGCAGGGTAGATGTTCACCGCTCCCTTAGAGACGTATCTACTACACTAGACTGTATCGTACACATTACTTTCATATCATTCAACCCATGGCTTCCATCCCAGTACCTCCTGACACACATAAGCATTGTCTCAAGGGAGGTTGTTGGTCGCCTCTCCCTAGTATTGACTACCATATCTCTTTATTATGTGTTCAACCTGATAGATTAGGCTGCTAATTTTATTAGACATAAGTAATACAGTATTTCAGCTAACGTTTACATTATACGACACCACATGCACACTCTTTGCATATATCTACATACATGAAATACATGGGCCCAAGGACTTTTGCAATTCATATCCATAAGCATACTTATCAGGTAGCCCAGTACGGCTAAGTGAGCCCCGAGTTAATCAAGAATACAACGGAGTGGGTGATTATTCCAATCTCCATTGACCACCTAAGTTGGCCAGCGAGGTCGCCTCTACTATCGAACAGCGCCGCGACGAGGCCTTAGGTCGTATTTTGCTGCCTCTCCTGTGTTACAGCATATATACTAGAGTTAGGTAATAGTAATCGATATATGATTATGTGAAAAATGGACAAAAGAGAAGAAGTTTCACTGTTCTTAAGAATTACATAGTATTGATTTTGTTGTTGTTGAAATAACCAACAGTTTGGGTTAATCGGTTGTTACAGTCTATAGTTTAGAAATTAAACGATTTAAACATTTCAGTTTGTACTTCTTCTTCCTGGAATAGTTCGTCAGCAGTTGCAAATCAAGTCTGACCAATACCAAGTGTGATATCACGGTACTTTTAATTGTGAAAAAATAAACAATCGCTAATATCCGGTAGCTGATAAGTAGATTTCATCAAAAGTTGTATATGGTTCGAATTGAAGGAATGTCCACATTTTTTACATCACATGGCCACGACGAGGTGAATAGAAAAGTACAGAAACAACTTATCAGCAATCACAATGAGAAAAGTTAGATATTGAGAATATGGTTCGAAAAGATAGGCGAATAGGAGCTGAAAATCTAGCTGAAGAGTGAATGTATCTGTGCCATTGTGACTGATTTCGAGCCATGTCATTGGCCCTCATCAACCACTGATCATGGTTATAATATCGACCCCCAGCCAGGTAAATTCCTATACCTACATGGCTCAGATTAATAGTTAATCATTTCATGGTTCAATAATATGTCTTAGTTTGATTAGCCCTAGCTTTTATCCAACTTATTCTTGCACCAGCCGTCATCGATTTGTCTAGGTAGACATGCGTCAAACACCTAACTCAATGAAAATTAACATTTTAAACCTATTTTTCATCTTTACCCAAGTACTCTATGCCTAACGTTTGCGCACTAGATTGTTCCACAATACACAAATATATAAAACTTATAACATAGATTACATATCACCTTTCTTTTTTGTTTATATATCATATGAATTTTTTTATGTTTTGATGTATTTATTCCATAATATCTAGCCTCAAGAGCCAGTTGTTGCACGTGCCATCGCCTATAAACGTGCACAAACTGAATTAGAAGGTTGTCGTGCTAAATTAGAAAGTCGAGGTGAAGAATTACGTGAATTACAAAAAGCATTAAAAGCACGTGCTGATGAACTTAGTGAAATGTCTGTACGTGTTAGTTTAGCTGAGAAGAAGTTAGAAACCGCAGGAAAATCGAATGAAGAGAAAATTTCCCGATTAGAACTACGTTTAGAACAATCAGAATCTCAACAGAAACGTAATGAAAAGTATGTTTTTGTTATCTCCGAAGTATTTACCTTTCATTGTTTCTTACATCACATTCTCAACTGACATTACATTACATTAGCATTGAATGTGCAAATTAAAGGAGTTTTGAATTTCAATAAAATAACTCCTCGGTTGTTATCATTTTCTCACCTTCTGTCATTTTATGATGCAAACTTTATACACTGGTTTGTTAGATCAACAGTCATCAAATTTTGTACACACTAGAAAAATGATTAAAGGCCTAATGTCCAAATAAATGCATAAATATTACTTACTTGATTATAATCAGTAGTATGTGACGATGTACTGAATAGTGATGTTTCTTAAAATGATCTATTTACAGTGTTGATACAAACGTTTAAGATATTCCAGCGGTGATTTTACTCATTCATTAGGATAATTTATCAATGCTTACAAAGTTTTTAATTGATATAAAGTGGTATTTCCCCAGCAAATGTCCGGCGCTTTAATCAGTTTGGTGGATACGGAGGATTCATTTAGGGGAGTCCCAAAACCACTGGTACACATGGACTCCAGTATTCTAAGGAAACAAATGGCATATGAACCTATTGTTGGTCACCGGCTACCATGGGACTACGTCTTGTGACGTTGCTTCACTACCTTGTGGATCAGACCTCTGGGTCAAATGTACAGGAAGTGACCCTCTAAGAAGACCACCTGCTTTGTTTTGGCACCCGCACAGTATTCCAGCCTCACACAAATCGAATAATTCGTGTGGTGCGTTCTTGTACCAATGTTTAATGTGTTTAAATAAATTAATCAATTGCCGCTTGAAATATTAGCATGGTGAAGTTATTTACAGCTAAGTGTTTTACCACTAATAACTTTAACTGATTATATATCAAACTTCCATTCCTGTTGTCATCTTTTTGTTGAATTAGTGCAACACAACGTCCATTAATTAAATTTCATTCTCCATTCTATAAGTTTTATCGGACCACTTGTTGTGTAGAAAAAAATCCTTATCCATGTCTAAGTCAGTCAATACATAATAGAGAACGTAGTATATAAGTAAGCTTTGGTATATTGTCACATCAACATAAAAAGTTGTGTGTTGCCTCATATAGATCACCTTGACCGGAATGACATGACATCGACTTGATCAGACCTGTTTTAGAATGATCGTACCAAATATTCTTGCTTTGTTCCTTTGTACTATTTAAACTTCGGTTACTTTAATTTGATTATCTACTGTCTGAAGAAGCAGCTTATACTGAGTGACGAAACGCCAAAAAATCTAGAAAAACCTAATTTTTCTACTCATTGAGATATTACAGTCAGTCAGTCAGTTACAACGTAGGACTTTGTACGTACGTACATCAGCTCGAGTTGCCATACCACATTAGCACAGAGATCCAGTTGTTAATTCAAATCCCATATTGGTAGAAGTAGTAAGAGTATAAGCAGTAATTCGAAAGATTAGTGTTTGAAGATGTTATTGAAGGAGTATAATCCAGTGAAATAAATTTGAAAAGAGAAAAAAAAGAAAGGGACATAAAGAATTCAGAAGATTAGAATTTGGAAGAGCCCAAAGAGTGGATTCGCCATTGCAAACGATTTTGAGCAATGTCATTCAAAGTCTCTAACCATCGATTGCTATCATCTCGCGAATCCCACCCAGGTAGTTTACATCCACCAACATGGCTCAGTCCACTTGTCAGTGACTTCATGGATTTTTACCATGTATTGGTCTGACTGCCCCTAGCTTTCTTCCAACCTACTCCTACATCATAAAGCATTGCACGTCGGGACAGTCGGTGGTTTGGTCTACGTAAAACATGTCCCAGCCATCTCATCTGATGTAGTTTCACTACTTCATCAATCAACTTGCCATACTTACATAGTACCCGTTTCCTAACAACTGCATTACTTACCCGGTGGTCCCAGGATATACGAGCAATGCTTCGAAGACACCTGTGAGATGGTATATTGCAAATATATTATTACAGTCTACCCAATGCTCAATGTATTTGAAATCATCAATTCAAACCTTGGTAATGACATCTCTTATCAGACCGCTTTGGCAAATAATTGGATTCATATACATTTTTGTTTATTTGAAAGAATTAAAGATTTTAAAAAACATTTACCATATTTGATCAGTCTTAAGAAATAGTTTACTGATTTAATCAAAGCATCTAAACTAACATCGGTTATCCGAATATTTCATTACTTTGTCTTCTATGTTGCCATGTATGTTTTCTTTATTTTTAAAATGATAAATAGAATGATAATAGATTTGTGATCTTAAAATGATACTATGTAACCAACCCATTGATATAACTGCTCACTACTCTTGTTATTTCAACCACCGAACATCCATAACGGGATGACAACTGAAAAAAGAGCAGAACGATAATGGATCCTGAAATTACGGTAGTATTATAGTGAACGAACAAGTCAAGTAGGAAGAACCAATTTCTTTATTAGTACAAAATTACAGTGGTTTCGTAAAGTATGAAAACCATATATTAAATGCATAATTTGCACATCTTTCATCAGTTTTCCTTTATATGATTGATGATTCTTCTAATTATTTTGTTATTATGGTTACTATTTCCTTTTCTATTCTCTTGAATTGAATCTTCTCAATCTTCTACTGTCATGCGCTCCAGTTTCGATCGGCGTCACATACTACTTACATCTGTCAACATGAGTAGTATTATTTGAACACATAAATATTGGTACAGAGGGTACCAGATATATATATGCGCAACACAAATCTCATTTGATTTATGTGAGGGCTGTGATACTGCCCGGGTGCCCAGACCGAAGCAGGTTCTATCATGAGTATCATACACAACAGTATTTATTCTGCTGTTCATATAAAAAGTGTATAACATAAATTGAGATCATGTCTATAAAATGTATGACTGGATTCACGATTACTGACATTGATCAATCTTCTATTCTTTTTTGACTGTAGGGTACTCCAAGAAAAATTAATGTAATTGAATGTTCCCTATTCCAGGTGAACTATCTAATTTAAGCTTATTTTTAATGTTAGCAACTTAGTCTGCATGAGTGATTGATCACTTTCATTCATGCCTGAACACCGATTACCACGACGCGCTATGCTGACTAGTATTGGCAATGGTTGGAAGGAAGTTAAGGGCGACCAAACCAAAACGTGGCATCAGAGCTTGAAGTCACTAACTTCTGGTCTGAGCCATGTTGATAGATGCAGACTACCAATGGTTGGAGACTCTAGGTGACATGGCTCAGAATCGATCACAATAGCGTAGGTGTATACACTCTTTATCTTCCCTTAAACCTTGAGATTAAAATTGCTTCATATCTATCTTTCTTCCTGTACTATATCCTTATATACAACCTATCTTTTATATATTACCACCACTAAATAAACTACTATGAATTCGGTGTTCATTTTGTTGTGCTAACGAGGTGTGGCAACTTGAACCGATGCATATATGTGTCTGATCCTACGTTATAACTGACTAACTGTCAAGTCTGAAAATAGTTGTTGTAACGTTTATGATTATTTAATAAATTTAGTAAGATAATTGTTGTACAAATACTTATTTGAGATTTGTTTATTTGAAAAAAATATATATTCAAACAGAGAATATGAACAAACATTAGATGCACTTCAAGCGGATATTGAGGCTTTGGAACAAGAAAAAGCAGATCTTAAAGAAAAATTAAAAACACTTAGTAAAAAAGCTTTATTTGAAGGAATTATTAAATCACCACTGCTTCCAAGTAAGTAAGGTTGTGCTGCTCTTTTCTTTTTTTTTTAATTTTCAGTAGTTATGAGGATATTACATATCAATTAGAGTTCAATTTGCACCTACTGTGTTATAATAGTTGACAGATAGTTGTCGAATGTTTTTGGAAGGCAAATTAGTTGAGGTGATATTCAAGCTCTTAATTCATTTTAAACACATACATATTGGTACAAAAGGGCACCAGATACATATGCGCCACACAAAATAATGAAAATAGGAAGAGAAAGGATGAAAAGATAAGGGGGACTGAAATGTACAACCGAAAGACTTTCTCAGTTAAGAAAGTTAGAACCACTCTTTATGAAGAAAGTAAAAGAAGGTTGCAGCAGGATCGCCACTGGCTTCTATTCTGAGCCATATCTGATAACGTCTCTAGCCACTGTGTTGCACCATCTCTCGGACCCCAGCCAGGGAGTCGTGAAGGACCAACACAAGCTAGCCCTTTGCAGCTTTCTTTCATGCTACGACACCATGTCATACACAAATGAAATGAAGTGACGCATTCTTAATTCATTAGTTAGAAATGGAATATGATTAAAGTATATGGGGACAAGCTAAGGAGGATTAAGAACGCCAACTTTAAGCATTTTGCTCGAAATTTAAATATCATAGATAACAAGTAGTGGAAATACTGTGGTGTGGGCTACTTATTTCCATATAATTAGTATATAGTAATGATTAGACATATAATGTATTTTGGCAGAAGACCGATAAGGAAAGAACTGAAATGAAACGCAATTGGTAGGAAAATGCATAAACAATGAAATTAGAGAAGATGAACTGAAATTTACAGAAGGAACAGTGAAGATTGACACGATTGATGGTTATTTTGCAAATTGACTGTTTACTGTATGGTTATCAGAATTTAGTGAGATAGTCTGTAATTTGTGGTTACATACATTCGATTGTCACCAGTCGTGTTTTCGTTCACTACAATACCTCTACACTCTACCGAAAACGTTTGAAATGATAAACGAGAAATTACTTTTTATCATCATGATAATGTTGCATTTACTAAATGCTTAATTTTGCTTGTATCGGTTGTTTATAATAGGCAAATTGATACTATCCTTAAATCATGATCCTCAACATTTGATCTTGAAACAAGCCTTAACCTAGTAACGTCAAATGTTATAGGGAAACTAATCAGAAAACGCTTTTTGTATTTTTTTTTATCATGAAATTCGTTTACCCATATGGTTACAAAGTATTTTTGCATTATAGATCATTTTAGTTTGTGATTTATACACGCTAAGCTTAAACCGTTCATCTCTACCCTGAATAGGAACATTATAGGAACTCCTAAAATATATTTGGATCCCAAATGCCTTGGTACGGCCGAGAGTGAGGAGGGGCCACCCCTCCCTCCAAATGCTCTCACACGGCCACGCGTATATATCCTCTACCAGGGAAGTTCTACTCACTGCCTTCTCGTGGCATTACTGTTGTTTACGAAATTGTGAGGACGAAAATCGAATGTCCGGCGCTTTGACCGGGTCAATAGACACGGAGGGTCCACCTAGGGGAGTTGGAAAACCCTGATTCCAAACTAGTGGTGCACATGGGCTCCATTATTCTGAAGGAACGAATGGCGTATAAATCCATCGTTGGTCACCGGCTACCATGGGACTACATCTCCTCACGATGCTCCACTGCCTTGTGAATCAGATGGCGCATATGTATCTGGTGCTTCCTTGTACCAATATTCATGTGTTTAAATAAATAAATTTTACGGGTTCGAGAAGATGGATTTATTTATTTATTTACTTAAACACATGGTAAAAGGAAGCACCAGATACATATGCGCCTCACAAATCTCATTTGATTTGTGTGAGGGCTGTGATACTGCCCAGGTGCCCAAACTGAAGCAGGTGGTTTTCTTAGGGGGCCACACCCGGAGCCCTTGACCTGAAGGTCTAGTCCACAAGGCAGTGGAGCATCGTGAGGAGATGCATTCCCATGGTAGCCGGTGATCAATGATTGATTCATAGGCCATTTGTTCCTTCAGGATACTGTAGCCCATGTGCACCATTGGTTTGTAATCAGGGTTTTCCAACTCCCCTAGGTGGACTCTCCGTGTCTATTGACCCGGTTAAAGCGCCGGAGATTCGCTTTTCATCCTCTCAATTTCGTAAACAACAGTTATGCCACGAGAAGGCAGTGACTGGGACTTCCCTGACAGAGGCTATATATTCGCTGGCCATGTGAGAGTATTTCGAGAGGGAGAGGTGACTCTCCCCACTCTCGGCCGTACCAGGGCATTTGGGGGCATCTATCAATAAGAATTTATATGTCATTGTTTCTTCAATTTACAGACTGAGTAACCCGTGGAAGGCTTTTACAAATTCATCAATTATTTAAGATCTGTCTACACTTTATGTTATTATTCTCTTTTTTACTTAAACTATCCATTTGCTAAAGGTTTTTATAGTTCAGTAAAAACAGGCTGAATACTTTTAATCTACATTAATAGTACCAATAGCTTGATGCGGCACTCAGTCATAATTATCACAGTTACAAATATATACCGTGATCAGTACATCACTATTCTCTTCTATACTTCTTATATTAGGAAAGTTTAACTTTCAATACTGTCCTATTTAGGGTTGTGATTTCCTTTTTTGTTTTTTACTCATTGTATTCAAGTATTCACATGTTTGTAAGCTTTTACTATTGTTATATGTTGTACCTTTCTTAAATTGTTGTTAATTTTTTAGTGGATCTATTACTTAGTTCTCTCCAGCTTATGGCATAGTTATGCTGTCATGGTAATTTGTCAATTATGTTGATTTGTGTTCAGGATTTTACTCTATATTATTATTTGAGGTTTGAGTTATGATTGTACTGTGTACAATGGGGAACTGATTTCTTTTCTACTTTTGTATTCTAATTAGTCACTGTGTTAGAAGGAATCTGACAACCAATAAGCGTTAACGTCTTAATTGTTGTCCATTAGTCGATGTGTCAGTTAAAAAGTAAGTCAATGGTCCTGGGGGTAATGTAGGCGAATTAATCGATAATCGGTCTGGAAAAAGAGGTCATACAACTGCTTTCCTATCATGACGAGCTGATCACATGAGGCCTAATTCAATCCAAGAAAACAACTCGTCGTTTTCTTCTGGCATAACAATTTCTTAATCGTAAATTATTCCTACTGTCCATTTTTTTATCTTCAATATTTTAGGCATAACGCAATCTAAAGCGCAGCCTTCAACAACAGGCTCTACTACTACTACTACTTCAGCTCCTGCACCTGGTAGACAAACTTCAGTCGAATGTGCATCACCTTCACCTGGTCCAGCTCGTTTGGCTGCTTACCGAGATGCTTCATTGATGGCAATGGAGGTTGGTTTATATATATATATATATATATATATATATATATATATATATATATAGTTTGTGAAGAAAACCTCAAGTCTAATTTGTAAACCGAACTCCAAACTCCAACCTTACTCTTTATACCCAGCCCTATCCTTTTTACATTATAACTAATGTCATTTGGTAATGGAAACTCTGTTGGGTGATAACCCTTATTCAGTGAATACTATTCTGACTCCTAATGTGTGAGCTTAACTTTTCTCCTTTTCTACAATGAATAATTTGGCATATGAGAGTTAACTATTCAGATCAAAACTGTTATTTCACTGTTATAATGTTGCATTTTGCTGTTAATTATTTTCTAACTTTGCAGAGTTTCGTGATTGGCGGCTCATAATTCGCCCAAAGTTGTCAGTATATTATACTCTTATCAGGATACACGAATGAATATTTTCAATAACTAGACCACAAAGCACATTAAACGAGAAAATACCATTACACTAATGTAGGGTATTAAAATATAAGGATCACGTTTAAGTTACATTAGTTTTGGAACAGAAGGATTAATCAAAAGCGTATTATGGAATAAGTCAGGGATATAGTTAAATGTTAGTAATTTACAGATGAGAAATTACGGATAACAAAGTCTAAAAAAAATTTCATGGTTCATCATGCCTTCATTACTTTCGTCACATTAAAAGTTTAAAAGAAAAAAGATCATTTAAGTCTCCACACCTAAATAATACTTCTCATTACTAGGATATCAGTATTCAAAAGTCATCATTTCTTATTTGTTATAGATTGAAGCTCTCCGTGAAGCTATTCGACGTTTATCTTCTGAAGTATCCAGACTTCGTGGTGAGAAAATGCTTGTAAGTTCTCTTCAATTATTGATTAGGAGGTACATGTTATATGTCATGTGCCATGTCTAGTTATAAGTCAAGATGATCTCAAATACTGTTAGAGGTGTTTAAACAGTTGTCGATTCAAGGTTTTCCACACAATGAAAGTATGTTTTCGTTTGAGAAATCTCAAAAAAAAGAATCCAGGGGAAGGGTGACTCTTTGACCTTAGAGGGAGTTTCCCTGCACGTTTCTTAATTAATCACAAAAGATGCACCAATCAGAATTTTTATTGCTTTGGTTAGTCCACAGATTAACAGCGTAAATTTCACTAAACGACACGTTTCGGCTTGCGAAGATTAGCTTTAATGCTTATTGATCCGCCAACCACATACATTCGTCCTAGTTTCAGGAAAATTTCTATCATTATATATGAGTGACAAGTTTCGTATGGAAATGTGTGGTTGGGAGTGAAATTTATAAATATTTACCCTTTTTATTTCTTCAAAAAGTACTCCTTTGACTATTTTTTCCTTAATTTCTTGGTATATATTTCATGCATTCATAAGCTTATATACATACATTACCAGACCGATAATTTGATGAGACAAAGTTTTTGATTGTTAAAATTAATTAATAAAATAAACGTGATAATACGGCATGAGGCTGACTGACAGTTACTCACGAGATTATTTTGTTGACTTAGGCCCCCAAATAACATACTTATATACAGAATGAGAACACCAAATGAACATTGTAAAATGCCATAGGCGATCGGAGAAAATTAGCTTGTAGGTCGCTCATTACCTTATCAATTAAAACTGTTAGACCTAATGTTGTAGCACCATATCACCTCCCCTGACGAAACGATATGGGATCCTTCTGTGGCATCACTATTGCAAACCTAGTTATTGATCTTTTCTCCTATTGGAACCATTTTCTTGACATAAAATACTTGTTAATTCATTTTCTATCTTTAACTTAAACACTTGAACACACTGTTTTATTCGTAACTATCCAACACCTGAAGCACTTGTGTACTGTGCGGCTTGTGTAGGTTGATCTAGGATTCGCGTTCAGTCTTTTAATATAAACTGGAGGTTCCAAGCTTGAATTCGAAACATTTTCAAGAAATTTTGACTGCACTAATTGGCTTCCAATCGGTAAACCACAGGTTTGAAACCTGCTTTACTTAAATCGGCCTGGAAAGCTACATCGTGTAAATTATGTAGTTCGAAATGTAGATTTCATAATCTGGTACTTGTTCAGTGAATGAAATTATGGATTACTCATAAATCAATTTCATTTCCTGTTGATAACATAGCTCATCTAACCTCTGTTTAGTCAAACAACACTCAAGCTATTTATTTTTCATTTTTCACTTTTTACTGACTAATTTTTAATTTTTAAAAATCTAGGAACAACTTAAGAACTTGGGTACTTTACAAAAACCTTCACGTCATCAAGAACCTGTTATTGTAGATGATGACACTTCTGATAAAGAGAATAAATCATCCTCACCTATCCAAGAACATAAATCTGTTCTACCACAAATTGTACATGATGTGAATGTACTACAAAAAGAAATCTTCTCTGTGCTTGCAAATCCTCAAGTTGTTCATTTGCCAAAGCCATTGTCAAAACAAGTTTCAGAGATGCCTGTTTCCGGTTCTGGAGATGATGGATCAACTACTATACAACCGATGAAAGTTGTTCAACCCAGTGCTACAATTCAGTTTAATCGACAAACGGTAAAATTAGTCAATTTGAAAAATGAATTAGAAAAGGTAATATATATATATATATATACGTATATATACTTCATTTACTATTGTTTATTTAAACGCATGAATATTGGTACATGGAAGCACCAGATATATATGCACCGCACAAGTCTCATTCGGTTTGTGTGAGGGCTGCCCAGGTGCCCAAACTGAAGTAGGTGGTTTTCTTAGGGGACCACACCCGGAGCCTTTGATCTAAAGATCTGATCCACAAGGCAATGGAGCATCGTAAGGAGATGCAGTCCCATGGTAGCCGTTGACCAACGATTGATTCATAGGCCATTTGTTCCTTCAGGATACTGGAGTCCATGTGCACCATTGGTTTGTAATCAGGGTTTTCCAATTCCCCTAGGTGGACCCTCCGTGTCTATTGACCCGGTCAAAGCGCCGAACATTCGCTTTTCGTCCTCTGAATTTCGTAAACAACAGTAATGCCACGAGAAGGCAGTGAGTAGGACTTCCCTGACAGAGGCTATATACGCGTGGCCGTGTGAGAGCATTTGGAGGGAGGGGTGGCCCCTCCTCACTATCGGCCGTACTAGGGCATTTGGGGGCATATATACTTCAACTATAATCTATTTCGTTAAACTTAAAATGCTACTATTATTTATTTCCATTACAAAAAATACTGATTTATGGTTAAAACATACAGTAGAACTTTGAAATCCATTAAACCTTTATGAGCTACTTTCTTCTTAAACCAGTGAAATGACATAAAACTAGGTTTATTATAATTCTGTCAATTAAGGAAGAAGATACTAATAAAAGTGGATAGAAGTCCAAGTTAAATCGATCCAGGACGCAAGTCCGATATTAGTGACCATTTACTGATTATACTGAAAACGGTTTCTGAGTATAAAACCAGAAATTTACTGTCATAACTATCTCATGTGCTTTTTTGGTAGTTTTGCCCTCCATATAGGATAAATCACATGTTTAGTATAAATTATGCTATAGTTTTCTTCATTATTGTATCGTATACTTTGTTAGTTTCGTGATTTTCAATCGTAACAACTCACTAATTAGAACATAACTATTTTAGATGGATAGTGGCTAGCAGAGGAATCCAGGATGCGCACTTCGTTGTATTTGGGACTCGTCAGCTCGACGTACCTGCATCCTAGAGTTGACGTTCGTTTTGGGACTCGAACCTAGTGCCTCGAGCTGGATTCCTGAGCCACCATCCATCTCTGCTTATAATGCTTATGATTTAAGGTGATATCGAGGCAATCCGCACAGGATGCATGTATGCCGATAAGAGGCTGATCAATTGCAGTCTTAAACATCAATCAGTCAGTCAGTCAGCTACAACATAGGACCAGGCACATATATGCATCGTTCCAAGTTGCAATGCCTCGTTAGCACAACAAGATGAACACCGAATTCATAGAAGTAGTTTATTTAGTGGTGGTAATATATAAAAGAAAGGTTGTATATAAGGATATGGTATAGGAAGGAAGAACGTTCTGAAGCGATTTTAATCTCAAGGTTTAAGGGAAGATAAAGCTTAAACATCAATAGGAACATTCAAGCGACCGATAGAAAAATGAATAACTGCGTTACAATGGTATGCATTATTTTGTTATGACTGTAGATTGTGATTCTGAAAGATGGCAAGTAAGTGACTTTTGAAATATCATGATAACATTCAGTGGCGTTTATGTTGTAGTCTCCTACTGTATTGTAGAGTAGTAGCTTACGGTGGTAAGATACTCTGTTTTCAGCCATTTAGTTGCGATTTTCAATCATTTTCCTTCAAAATAGATTTAGGTAACTAATAATGCAAGAATTTGCATTTCTTAGCCCCAAATTGCTATGATATCCATCGGTGTATCACAAGCATTGGCAATTAAATTAAACCAATGACTTTAAGTTATTTTGAGCTCATTTGCAACACTAACTAATTTTCAGCTATATCATTCAAGGTCTCTAACATACAACACTAAGTAGTAAATTCTCACCTCCCAACATTACTCGATTCAATGAATACATGTAATGGCGACGTGGTATTCTTATTTATAGTATTACTCATCTTTCTTCCATCTCCCAGCCATATGGCATATCGTAGCGAGTAGTGATTGAGGATCTGTGACAATACCCAATTAAGATTTTTCTTATCAGTCATTGTACCATATCTGTTCAACAGTACCCTTCACCCAGCCGACCATAACTGCTAACTTGATGTAGTGATTTTATCGAGCTAGCTGGAACCATTGTTCCTCTAAGTTTTTTTTATCCCATCCAGGTCGTTTCGGGAATGGTATGACTAAAAGCAGCCATCTCATGAACAGAAAGTGGAGTCCTACTGCTGATTATAGAGGGGTGTGACAATGGTAAGGTGTTTCCATCGGGCATCCAGCATATTCAGCGCTGTTTCCCTCTCAGTGGAAGAACAAGATCACGTCACACGGTACCCCACGGATTTCCGTCTCAAACCATAAGGCGTTTTGAACCACAGAGCTAACATATTACAAACTTCTCACAGAAGGACTGTGTGTGATCGGCCTGAAACTGTTATCTCCTAGATTCTGTAGTCACGCTTTTAGGTCGCTACGACCACTACTAATTCAGTTTCATTTTCAACTCTCTCGATAAGGAATACTTTCACGATGCGGATTACAGAGAATTGACATTCACTCTCATATACACTAATAAAAGTGCTAAGAATCCTCTTCTTGCGTTTGACTTTACTTGACGCATAACTTTAGCATTACTCACTAGATTGTTATGCTTTTTTTTCTAAATTGTCTTAACTTAGTCCACTATATTGATTAAGTTTGTTTGTTTTCTTTTTAAAAACCAACTTAATATACCTAGTTACAACAACGTGCATTTGAAGCAATTAAAACAGAAATACCAAATACATTAATTCAAGCAGATTTTACATCATTTCCATCAATTAAAATGAAACAATTATTACATTTATCAAATAATAATGAAACTGCATCACTACATTATCGTTTATTGTTTCCTGGTAGTGGTGGTGGGAATAGTAGTAGTAGTAGTACTACTACTACTACTACCATTGAAGATAATGGTGAACCTATGTATACAGCGAAAGTTTCTATGACAAAAGACGAACTACACCATTTACATTCATATTTGTTAAGAGTTTAACAAAAAAAGTGGTACATTCATTGTTGTCATTTGTTTACTTGATGTTAGTTTTTTTTCTTTCCTCTTTTTTTGGTTTTTTGCTTTGTTTTTTAAGAATTTTTTTCTATTCTAGACTTATTGGGAGGGGTTTCATTCTCTTTTTATGATGCGATAAGTAATGTGGTATTGAAGATATACATATATATATTCATATGATGATATCTAAGGAACAACGTATTCATCATCCTGATATATTTCAGTATTCCTTGTTTCTTCACTGTTTTTCAAATTTATTTTTTAACAAGATATTTTAGTGATCCATAAAGTTTTCCGGTTTTATTGGTTAATTTATTATTGATCATGATGAATGAAAGCGATGAATATAAACAGAAGTGATAAAATGACTTGTATATTTATTTTCATATAAACTGGTCATATTGTGTATCATATGTTGTTTTCATAGTTGAATTCATGAAACGATCTAAGCTAGACCACCATTAAAAACCTGGAAGTATTGGGCAGTCGTTTCAACCTAGTATGGGACTTTTCAGAAGTGAGCTCAGTGGTCTCGAAGTTAAGCGTTTGCGCGCAAGACCAAAAGTCCTGCATTCCAGGGCCACGTGCGAGATCGTGGATGTGCAGTCAGTTAGTCAGCTACAGCGTAGGACCAGGCACATTTATGCATCATTCCAAGTTGCCATATCTCGTTAGCACAACAAGATGAACACCGGATTCATAGAAGTAGTTAATTTAGTAGTGTTAATATATAAAAGAAAGGTTGTGTATAAGGCTATAGTACAGGATGGAAGACAGATATGAAGCGATTTTAATCTCAAGGTTTAAGGGAAGATAAAGAGTGTATACACCTACGCTATTGTGATCGATTCTGAGCCATGTCACACAGAGTCTCCAACCATTGGTTACGATAGTCACGCGAACCCCAACCAAGTAGTCTGCATCTACCAACATGGCTCAGACCAGAAGTTAGTGACTTCTAGCACTGCTACCACGTTTCGGTTTGGCCGCCCTTAACTCTCTTCCAACCATCCCCTACACTAGTCAGCATTGCGCTTCGTGGTAATCGGTGTTCAGGCATACGTAACTCGTGGCCTAACCATCTCAGTCGATGAAGATTCATCACCTCATCAACTGATTTACCATCATTCCCTAATACCCTGCGTCTAACCTCACCATTACTTACCCGGTTATCCCAACAGATGCGAGCAATATTTCGAAGGCATCTGTGGTCAAATACTAGTAACCTACGAGTATCTTCTACTCTTAATGGCCATGTTTCACAGCCGTAAAGTAGAACAGAACGAACTGCTGCGCAGTATACTCGTCCCTTAATTGATAGACGGATATCTCGTCTTCGCCATAGGTGAGGTAAGTTGGCAAAAGCCAAACGAGCTCTTTGAATCCGTGCTGAGATTTCGTCAGACACCAACCCATTAGGGCTGATGAGACTTCCAAGATAAGTGAAGTTGTCCACGCGTTCGACTACTTCACTCCCTATCCTTAGTTCAGGTGTTGATGCAGGCCAGTCCTGGAGTAACAATTTACATTTGGATGGGGAGAAACGCATCCCAAACATCCTGGCGTTATTACTGAGTTCCAACAGAAGACTCTGCATTTTGTCAGTGTCTTCACCAAACAGGACTATGTCATCTGCGTATTCTATGTCGATAAGTGAACCTCCTGCTAGAAGATCAATTCCTGAAAATTCAGTCGACGAGAGTGTTATTTCCAGCAACAGGTCTATAATGAAGTTAAACAAAAATGGGGATAGTGGACAGCCTTGACGGACACGACTTGAGGTTGTAAAATCATATGACAGTTCGCCATAAGCTCTCACTCGACTGGTAGTGTTCGAGTAAAGAGCCTTCACAAGGTTTATGTACTTCTCAGGTACACCTTTCAATGACAGACACTGCCACAGAACCTCTCGGTCTACAGAGTCAAATGCTGCTTTTAAGTCAAGAAAAACTATCATTGTCGGGCGCCGATAAACATGTCTGTGCTCTAAAACTTGACGAATGGTGAATATGTGGTCGATACAGCCACGACCAGGTCTGAAGCCAGCCTGATTTTCTCGTGTTTGCAGTTCACGAGTCTTAGTTAAGCGCCCAATAATTATTGAGGCTAGTATTTTAGATGCTATGTTAGTCAGACTAATCCCTCTGTGGTTATCACAGGACGATTTTGGTCCCTTCTTATATATTGGGAAAATCAGAGATTGTGACCAGTCAGATGGGATTACGTCCATCTCCCAGATTTTAGCTAGAATATTAGTCAACCTAATCGCTAAAATTGGACCACCATATTTAAAGACCTCTGGAGTCAATCCATCTGGACCAGCTGCTCTTCCCCGTTTCAGATTACTTATAGCCTTTTGAACTTCAAGTAGGGTCGGGGGGCCAACTTCAACGTTCCATTCAGACTGTTTGGGAATAGTGGGTAATTCTGCAGTAGCTGAAGGCCAGCTAAACTGCTCCTTAAAGTGTTCCGCCCATCGTTCTAAACGTTTTGGTTGAGAGCAGATAAGGGTTCCGTCTTTTTCCGAGATTGTCTCACTTACACTTGACTTATTAATTCCGGTTTCATTTATTAATCTGAATAGTTGCCTGGTGTTGCCTACAGCCGCTGCCTTTTCCATCTCTTTTGCTTTCGTTGCCCACCACTGCTCACGATCGTTCCTTAGACTTTTAGTTAACCTAGATCTAATTTCTTTACGCTCTTCGTCGTGTTCAGAGCCTGATGGGATGAGTTTACGCGAATCCATCAGTGAAATAGACTTAGAAGTAGTCCATTTGTTTTTCAGAACCCTATGGTTTAAATTACTAACAGATGTGACTGCTGTTTCCACAGCTGTTCGTATATCTTTCCAAACAGCATCTGTGTCAGTCTCGTTTACAGAACTGCCTAGATGTGAACTCAGTTGTTTCTGGAATTCGAATTTGGCTTTCTCGTCCTCCAGTTCAATCCTAATGGGTCTTCTTACTTTAGTTTTCCTGTGTACAGTGAGGCGCAGACAAATGAGTGCTCATATTAAAGCATGATCAGAGTCTAAACATGTATTCTAATACGAGCGACAGTCTACTATTGAGCCTCTCCAACGATGGCTGATGGCAATATCTCCTATTTGAGTCCATCGTTGGTTTGGTGCAGGTGGTCGCCATGTTAGACGATGTCTCTCCTTATGCTTAAAATTAGTGTTTGCTAAATATAAACGATTGTTTGAGCATAGTTGCAACACACGATCACCATAATCGGTTCGTTGAGCCGGAATACTAAAACACCCACCTAAATGTCTTTCTGTTTGATTCAAGCTGCCTACGTGGGCATTAAACTCACCCGCTACGACTACTATGTCTGAGTACTTAGCTTTCTGAAGAAGCTCAGAGAGTTTTCTGTAAAAGTCATCTTTTACTTCATCATGGCTGCAGTCTGTGGGAGCGTAGGCAGAAACGACGAAAAGGCAACGACGTGTGTCCCTATCCTTCCGAGTTCTTACGGAGCCATTTAGCCGGACAGCACACAGGCGACTGTTAACGGGGATCCATTCTAGTAGTGCCTGTTCTGCCCTTGTACTTAGTGCTATACCTACACCTGCAAGTCCACGAGAACTAGCCAACGGGTCGCCAGATACACGGAGGGTGTATTTCGTTGGCTGTCCATTTTGGCGAGGTGAGGTCAAGTGAATGACCACACTGGGATCCTGTATGCGTGTTTCGGAGACACAGCATACATCAATGGTACGAGATTCTAGGGTTTTAGCTACAAAGGCCTGTTGACCGATTTGGCATAGGATACGTACGTTGAAGGTTCCAATGTGTAGTTTGGAGCGAGGTTTTAGTAGACCTGGGACAGCGTTTCGCGCACTAGAATCGTTGGCCATGGTGACACTTAAGGAGGAAACCGAGAGAGGAAGTTTAGTGTTGAAAGTCAAGGTAGAAGGAATAGTAGGAATTGAAGAAGGAGATTGATTATGAATACAGTGGTCTTGAGTGTTGTTAGAGGTATGAGGGCAGTTATCACTTCCCGGTTGCCCACACCGTGGAAGGGTTCTTCTTGGGGTACCTGAAAAGGAAATTGGGTTAGAAGTGGTCTTAATGACCTGAGAGCGTGACCGCAGTGCCCAAGGGACAACTGCTTGAGGTCGGTCACACACGACCTTTTTGTGGGTAGTTTTTGTGTTAGCTCCGTTCTTCAAAGGACCTTACCGCCGGAGACGGAAATCCGTGGGATAAGGCGAGGTGTGCATTTTTAGGATCGACCTTTTCTAACCCCACCCCTCCTTGTGGGAAGGCAGCATCGCTGTCATACTGGTTGTCTGAAGAAAACACCTTACTGCCGTCACACCTCTGTACAGTCGGCAGTACGACTTCGCCTTCGGACCTTGGCATTGCTGCTTTTAGTCTTACCGCTCTTCAACCGACCTGTCTTGCATGGTAGGACCTCGAGGAACGATTGTTCCAGGCAGTATAGCTCGATTGGTTCATCACGATAGGCAAGCCCAACCACCACGTCAAGGTAGCAGCAACGGTCGGGGAGCCCTTGAGTTGTTGTCAATGGCTTCACTTATATATGTTCGTGCAGTCTATGTGTAGTTTGTGTAGTTTGGAGCGAGGTTTTAGTAGACCTGGGACAGCGTTTCGGGCACTAGAATCGTTGGCCATGGTGACACTTGAGGAGGAAACCGAGAGAGGAAGTTTAGTGTTGAAAGTCAAGGTAGAAGGAATAGTAGGAATTGAAGAAGGAGATTGATTATGAATACAGTGGTCTTGAGTGTTGTTAGAGGTATGAGGGCAGTTATCACTTCCCGGTTGCCCACACCGTGGAAGGGTTCTTCTTGGGGTACCTGAAAAGGAAATTGGGTTAGAAGTGGTCTTAATGACCTGAGAGCGTGACCGCAGTGCCCAAGGGACAACTGCTTGAGGTCGGTCACACACGACCTTTTTGTGGGTAGTTTTTGTGTTAGCTCCGTTCTTCAAAGGACCTTACCGCCGGAGACGGAAATCCGTGGGATAAGGCGAGGTGTGCATTTTTAGGATCGACCTTTTCTAACCCCACCCCTCCTTGTGGGAAGGCAGCATCGCTGTCATACTGGTTGTCTGAAGAAAACACCTTACTGCCGTCACACCTCTGTACAGTCGGCAGTACGACTTCGCCTTCGGACCTTGGCATTGCTGCTTTTAGTCTTACCGCTCTTCAACCGACCTGTCTTGCATGGTAGGACCTCGAGGAACGATTGTTCCAGGCAGTATAGCTCGATTGGTTCATCACGATAGGCAAGCCCAACCACCACGTCAAGGTAGCAGCAACGGTCGGGGAGCCCTTGAGTTGTTGTCAATGGCTTCACTTATATATGTTCGTGCAGTCTATGTGTAGTTTGTGTAGTTTGGAGCGAGGTTTTAGTAGACCTGGGACAGCGTTTCGGGCACTAGAATCGTTGGCCATGGTGACACTTGAGGAGGAAACCGAGAGAGGAAGTTTAGTGTTGAAAGTCAAGGTAGAAGGAATAGTAGGAATTGAAGAAGGAGATTGATTATGAATACAGTGGTCTTGAGTGTTGTTAGAGGTATGAGGGCAGTTATCACTTCCCGGTTGCCCACACCGTGGAAGGGTTCTTCTTGGGGTACCTGAAAAGGAAATTGGGTTAAAAGTGATCCTAATGACCTGAGAGCGTGACCGCAGTGCTCAAGGGACAACTGCTTGAGGTCGGTCACACACGACCTTTTGTGTTAGCTGCGTACTTGTTGGGACCGGAGACGGATACCCGTGGGATAAGGCGAGGTGTGCATTGTTAGGGTCGACCTTTTCTAACCCCGCCCTTCCTTGTGGGAAGGCAGCATTGCTGTCTATCTGAAGGAAACACCTTACTGCTGTCACACCTCTGTACAGTCAGCAGTACGACTTCGCCTTCGGACCTTTGGTTAGCTGCTTTTAGTCTTACCGCTCTTCAACCGACCTTTCTGGCATGGTAGGACCTTGAGGAACGATTGTTCCAGGCAGTATAGCTCGATTGGTTCATCACGATAGGCAAGCCCAACCACCACGTCAAGGTAGCAGCAACGGTCGGGGAGCCCTTGAGTTGTTGTCAATGGCTTCACTTATATATGTTCGTGCAGTCTATGTTACTTACTGAGTCGTCTGGTTTGTTTATGATTATTAAGGAGATCAAGAATTGATATGTCTTGCTGATTGAACGCTATATTCGGATCCTAATCTATTCTCGTAACCCCCAAGCTAAATCTACACAGCGACTTGAAAAGGCGCAAAATATACGAGAAGCACTTTACTCCAAAGGTTCATTTATGTTCCGAAAATATAGGGTTTTAATAGTATCTTAGAAGTCCTGAAAATTCTAGAAAACTACTAAACATAGTAGCAGTGTAGTAATCAGTGAATCAGAACCTCTACATGTGACTTTACATTTTCGCGATATTTCTGGCAGAACTTCTAATCAAATGCTGATTGGATAAAATGCTTTATAATTTTCCTGAGCTAGTCATGTCTATTGCGAGAAATTTCAAGGATAGGCTCAACAAAAATTTTAAAACTAAATGCATCCGCATCTACCCAATGTGAACTGATGTGGTTGAATTTTCTCAGTAGTCGTCCTTTGGTATAAAATTTTCTGTAACTTGTTTTATTATTTCGTGGACTAGTTCTGGAGTGTTTTTTTTATGATACTGATATTTATTTGGTTCGCTCTGGTCTATTGAAGTGTCAGACATACCAATGACTTGCGTTTTGTTTTTTTTAAGTTTATATTTGGTAGCACTAAATAGCCTTTCGATGGTAATCTTTCATGAGAGACCAATCGATAGGCTGACTCGTTTCGCTCTTATTCAGGGGTTGATTGCTGAAAATGAATAGAACGTTTATAACATTCACATATGCCTGATTTTTCTCATTTCGTTTGGAAAGTTTCTACTGTTTTGGCCGTTATGCCCTGGAAGAAATTTATTATGTCTTTTGCAATCTTTTTGTTAACCTCTGTTTTTATGAACAGACTGTCTTGTTTAGTTCGGTGGACTAATTTCACCAGCAATACCTCACTTCTTTCCTGTCTTGTACTCTTTTTGAGTAATTTCTTACATCCATTTCTTGTTTATTGGGTCTAAAAGTTTGCTTATTAGTCTCTTTTGCATTTTGAGGGGCGATAGTTTCTTTTAGAATTTAGCGAAATTTATCATCGACGACCTCATCTAGCACTTGGTGTATATATATCATGCTCTATATGTAGTATTTTTTTACTGCATTGAAATTTTACTCGTCGTATTGTTGGTCTCGGGGTTGTATAGATTTCTTTCTTACTGTGTTCACTTGAGGGGTCAGGTGAGGGATAACTTCTAGTCAGTTTAGTGGTAGTCTTGTCGCCAATTACTTCTGACACGTAAAATTTTCAGCCTAACACATAACATATGTGATATTTTATCTTTATTACTGCTAAACCTAATACTCCTCACTCTAATATAAGTAGTATGTAACATCGTTCGGAAATGGAATCTCTGCGAGCGAAAGTTTGACATGAGGAGAAGAAAACGAAAAGTAATCAAGATGACAGGAATGAAGCGTGTAAGAGATAATTCAAAGATGTGCAAATGATGTATTTGATGTGTGATTTCCACATTTGACTAGATCACTGTGTGATTGTGCATTAAACAATAAACTGATCTTCCCCACCTGAGTGTTCGTTCACTACACAATCTGACTAGTTTCATTATCGTAATAATGTATTGTCGCAGTATACTCGAGAGAGAAAAGAAATATCTTAAACCATTGATTGTATCATCGGCAAAATTAAACCCTTATCTAAAATGAAATAATGTAATACCCTATTCATCCATGTTCCCTGAAAATGAATTATTAACTCAACTACAAAAGCACCAAACGTATGTATTGTATATCTCATAGAAAAGGAAAAAAAACAATCTCGAACCGATTTGAGTGATATTTAAAACTTGTTGTTGTGTTTTGAAATTTGATTGGTTGTAATTAGAAAAATAACCAAAACCCATATTGTATATATGTATATACCCATTGAATTTATTGAATGGACGCTAAACGATAATTTATAGCTTCTTGACGAATATTCTCTGATTCAGTTATTCCTCTACCAACAATCATTATAATAGATAATGAAGATGTAGTTGTAAAACGTTTCTTGACTTGTTCAGGTGTATTGTAATTTTGGCCTAAATCATCATTGGAATTAACAAGTTTTACACCTGTTAATAAAGTAACAAGAGAATGATATTAATTGTAATAATTCTCAAAAACTAAAATTTTAGGTATCATTATATAAAGCAAACAAGAAACGGTGAGAAATTTTTTTCCAGCGAAAACTCATGTTCAGTGACATCTGCTTATGTGATGAATGGAACGATCATCACCCAGGTGAAATTGAATAATCGTTATGATACATAGTGAACCAAATGAAATCTTAAATGTGAAAAATCAGTATTTCAGTTCAGTGGTTTACTAGCTGATTGCTCTATATAAAGACAGAAGGTTCTGAGTGTGAGATGGCCATAGATAAGTAATTCCCTATGAATGTTCAACCAACATTTATGCCGATGTTGGCTGGTATATTAGTTTGAGAGAAAGCTAGCTACTCCCATACTTCGACCAAGGATCTGTCCATGACTACTGAACTGAGATGTGTAGGTGTGGACTACACTGTAAGGGTTCATATGATTATCATGATCAATCATTGAAAACATTAGACGACATGGAGTGGAATCACTCAAAATGGATAGATTCACTCTTTGTCTTCAAATACTTATACTTTTTACTTCACGACTTCATTCTTTCTAATCGAACCAGATTCTCTATGCTTAATATTTTTTACTACCACCGGTATGATTGCTACTTTTACTACTCTGGCATTAGCCATCATATTTTAATTTAGGTGTGTTGATGAAGTAAAGTAACTAGAACCGATGCAAATATGTCCCAGGTTCCATGTTGCTTACGACTGACTGGATGGAACTTCGATAGTAGATGATACGTAATGAACGCCTTCTACAAAATAACGACAATTGATTTTCTTTATTATACAACTGATAGGTGGAACAAATGAACGGCTCAATAGACTCGATGAGCAGCAACCCAGATAATTCTTTCATTCATAACTTCTTAACAAATCAAAATAGTAAGTAAACACTGAACTGTATGGTGTTCAACTTGAACTTTTGTTTACGGCTCAAAGATTTTCGAGTGGAGACTATGAAAAACTAACAGTAATTTTATTATATGTCAGGATGTTTGAACACTGTAGACATTGTTATTATCCAGTATATTTTTCTAAACTTCTGGACTCAGTAGCTAAGTAGATGATACAATGGCGTTTGAAGTGAACGGTACTGGGTTCAAGTCACGGAGTGAACATCAAGTATGGGATGCAGGTACATCCAGCTGACGAGTCTCAAGCAGGACGAAACGCGCGTCCTGGATTCCACTACTAGCCACGATCCATCTCTGCTTATGATACTTGTGATATAAGGCAATATCGAGGCGATCCGAGCAGGATGTTTTAATGCCAATAAGAGACTGATGATCAACTGCAGACCTGAACATCAATAGGAAGATTCAAGCGGTCAATACAAAAATGAATTCCCTTTATGATGATAATGTATTTGTTGACTTTATTATAAGCTTCTTTCACGAATCTCAATACACTTTTTATTTAATCTCAAATAGTAACCTAATTTTATCATTCAGCTGTTTACTAAAAGGATGTCGGTGAGTCAATCAACAAAGATGTACATAAAGTCGTTGATTAATTTGAATACAAACTATCTAAATTGACATGTTACATAACGTTCAAGTACATATACGACAAGAGATCTATCACGGTAACCTTGATAATTATTCTGCACTATTTGTCTTCGTTACAAGTATACTGTAACAGGTTCAGAATCCCTGTCCGCTAAATGGAATTGGAATTCAAGTTTCCTTCATCAAATTTTAACTGTTGCTTCCTATGCGATATCTATCATCCTAAGACACCGTAACTATATCGCTTTATAAGCGTACTTATGCTTTTTTTTACACTAATTACTGAACATAACTCCTTGCTTGCAAGATATGATTACTATTACGGTGTATATTCTACGATAACCATTCTCCCGTTTCAATTAAAGCGATTTGTGAATCACAATCTATCAAATAATGTAATCTTATTTCTGTAAAAAATTTTAATTCCTTCTTGTATCAACCTTATTATCCCGGTAAATTGGTGTACATTTATTGAATATTTTCAATATATACAACATTGTCATCATTATATAACTATAAATTGAACATAGGTATTGTGAAAATATGACAGAAACCATTACCTGGTACCCAATATGAAATATTTGACGAACAAATATTGATTCCTGAAATAGGATGTTGGGCTACAAAACCGCCAATGATATCAGTATTCATTTTAATCAAACTAGTGCATTGATCCTTATACGATTCAGTTGTCAAAGCTCCCTATAAATACACATATACATAAGTAAAAGAAAATAAAACTTAACAACTGCATTGTTCAATCATATGGTAATGATAAGTCTATCAAACGTTGTTGTCTACTCTTTAATGATGACCGAATTCTATCGATTCAGTTATAATGTGGTCACCTAGGTTATTATTTGACATAACATCTTCAAGAACTTCGTTCATTATTGAATGTAAATCATATAGAAAAGTATATGGTAAGTAAAACCGGACACAAATCTTGTGGTGTTTCAAGATAACATGATGGGATACAAGTGTGTGTGTGTGTGTGTTAGTTATTGGGGTAAAGGAATCATCCATGTTCTCAAGGTCGATGCTTAAACATTCGCGCCACTTTGACAACTTATACAAGAGTTATAAACAGCATTATTTTGCCAAAAAAAGTTGTCAACTGAGGCTTCATCGAATAGAGAATTGATTTCGAATGAATAGTTTCAACGAATGACAGACGTACTAAAGGTGAGCTAATAAGAATGGTAAGAAAGTACAACTGCAACAATACAATACACCAAACGATAGAGACAACGTCTAAATGCTTAGGAATATCGATGGATTACAATAGAGAGACGTTCCAAAATAATAAGTAATAACAAGTTATTATTATGGTCCTAGTGGAGTTTCGTTCTTTGAGCTGGATACTTTAATCATGAAACTTTCATTGTTCTTCTGCACAACACCCCCAAATACCCTGGTACGGCCGAGAGTGGGGAAAGTCCGCTCTCCCTCTCGAAATGCTTTCATATGGGCACGCGAATATATAGCCTCTGTCAGGGAAGTCCTACTCACTGCCTTCTCGTGGCACTACTGTTGTTTACGAAATTGAGAGGACGAAAAGCGAATGTCCGGTGCTTTAACAGGGTTGGTGGACACGGAAAGTTCACCTAGGGGAGTTGGAAAACCCTGATTCCAAACCAATGATGCACATGGGCTCCAGTATCCTGAAGGAAACAATGGCGTACGAACCAATCGTTGGTCACCGGCTACCATAGGACTGCATCTCCTTAAGATGCTCCACTGCGTTGTGGACTAGACCATCAGGTCAAAGGCTCGGGGGTGTGGGCCCCTAAGGAAACCACCTGCTTCGGTTTGGGCACCCGAACAGTATTCCAGCCCTCACACAAATCGAATGAGATTTGTGCGGCGCATATTTATCTGGTGCTTCCTTGTACCAATATTTATGTGTTTAAATAAATAATAATAAATAAACTTCTGAACAACATGATCGACACGAACTTCAGGTAGAAGTGAATTATTCTTATTCGCCCATATATAGCTGACAGCTTGTCTTGACAACCTTGAACTTGGCTGGTTGTTGTTTGCCTGTAACCTATGGCCATCTGCATTTTTCCAGTCGAACTTATGTCCATAATTATGCACATGCATTACCATAAGCGAAAATACAGCATGGAGTTGGACAGCTAGTTGATGTTCATACAGACGACGATGAGGGTATCTACTTTGTCCGATTTTGTTTCTCGCAGTTGGAACAATTTGTCAAGTAAATGGTATTTGGCTTCTTTTCTTTTGTTATTTCGTCCTTTGGTTTGCATAGGATTGATTGAAATGACTTTTTGGTTTACGTGCTACATTTAATCCAAACAGCTTAGATACTCATTTGATTTCTGATATATCCTTGATATGTGGTAAGATATGTTTATTATTTTTTATATTTAAATTCGTTCTTGCTGATCAGTTTGACTGATGTTAAACCATCCAGCTCAACGAACGAAACTCTACCAAAATCATCCACCTAAGTTACAAAATCTTCTCCAATATCTCAAGTAGAATAGTGTAATACACAAAAAGAAAGAACGAATACGAAAGAAATGAAAGTGGAAGTTGAACAACTAATAAAGGAGAATCATGTAGACATAATAAAAAAAACGAGGAATGCTATGCCAAAGTTATTGAGACAATAATAATAATGATATCATGTTAATTAAGGAAGTTTATTGTACTTATCGAGAATGTTTCACAGTCATAGATCCAATCTATCAACTCATATAAGAAAATTTAGTCATTCACATAGTCAGAAGATTACTAGATATTCGGCTTCCGGCCACTAAATAGAACATTATAACCTTGATCCAACTACGTCTGTTTGAGTTATCGGGTAGTATCATTAGCTATTACAATTAGAGTATCGTTCGAATCAAAATGTACCTGGTGAACCAATTTATAATAATAACCATTATTATTATTACTACTACTATCTCACTTACTTGACAGCTCATTTCAGCCACTACTAATGCTGCTATTTGATGTTGTTTCCCATTTTCTAGTAACTTTTGATTCACTTTACGAAAAGCATCAAATAAACCGGGACCAGATAAACAATGTACTGTAATCATATCACACCATTCAGCAATCCTATAAACACCGTGCAATAATTGATTGTATACTGTTTGACCAATATCGGCCAATTTCCTTTACACAATAAAGAATATAACACTAAATATTGCAATTATAAGAACGTAGTGAAATGTAATGGCTTAAACTACGAATTGTTTAACTAATTGTGAAATTCTATTTCACTTAAATACTAGCGTATTGGTGTTTATTATTCTACGTAGTCTACAACAGTGAAAGTACAAACGAATGGAGAAAAGCACAGCTTAATAACAGTATTTACTTAGGTCAGTCACAAACCGACCCAAGTAGCTTAATGGTAACGTTTCTGACTGTGATAGTGATGAAAGCCAATTCGAATCCCATAGGATGTCAGTCAACAGAACAGTAGCAGCATTGCTAACTGTAACAGTAGGTGATGTAGGTTCGGTTCCTATGAAGAACAATGATGAGTCCCAACCAGCATAAAATGAAGGGTTGACGGATGTTATGTTAAGTGCATCCGAACACTTGACGGATCGAATAATCGAACCTAGACTCGGAAAGAAAATGTAAATTAGAGGAGGTTATGAAGAATTTAGAATCCCAGAATTTGGGGGAGAACAAAGAACTGATACACCTGAGCTATTGCAAATGATTTTGAGCCATGTCATTCAAAGTCTCTAACTATTGTTTACGATAATCATGCCTACTTCTATGGCTGAGTTCACTTGTCAATGACTTAATGGACTGGTGTTATGTTATGGCTTGGCCATCCCTAGCATTTTTCCAACCTGTTCCTGCACCAGAAGACATCGCCCGTCTAGGTCGGTGGTAGTTTGGCTTACGTAACACATGTCCTAACCACCTCGGCTAAAGACTTACTACCTCATCAATCGACTCGTCATCTTTACCTAGGAATCTATTCCTAATCCAGGTATTACTTACTCTGTGGTCCCAAAATACACGAACAGTGTTTCATGGACACTTATGATCGAACACAAGTAACCTGCAAATATCCTTTACTCTTAATAACCATGTTTCACATCTATAAAGAAGAACAAAGCAAACTGCTGTGCAGTAAACTTGCCCTTTGGTTGGAATACAGATATCTCGCCTATGCCATAAGTGGCGCAAGTTGGTAAAAGCCAGTGGAGACTACTGAATTCGTGCAGAGAGTTCATCAGACACCAGACCATCAGTCCTGATGAGACTCCCAAGATAAGCGAAGCGATCGATGCGTTCAACTACTTAACTTCCCATCATTAATTCAGACGGTGACGTAAGTCAATCCTGAGGTAACGCTTTACATTTGGAGAAAGAGAAAAGATAAACATTGACAATAAATAGTGGAACTTACAACAAAACTATACGGTTTTCAACAGATATTTTATGAATACGCATTGTATATTACATATATTGGTTATGCAAAAGAATTCAAGAGTAAACTACAATGAACATTAAAAATAAACAAATGATTTAGCAGCATTCTATAACTTACCTATCCTCGATAATTAAAAATCCATGTTTCACAGATAGATTACATAGACCTTTAATAATCATTTCAGGATTTGTGTTAGACAATAAAATATCTAAATGCAATTTGATAGCACAAACTTCTGACCCTATTTCATCGGTTAATTGAAGTAATTTAATTGGATCTAAAATATCCATAGCTACACATAAACGTGATTGTTTTGATTGGATAATTTGATTTAATCGATCCAATTGAGAACATGTAAATTTCAATTCAGATGGGATCTAACAAAAGCGATGTAAATGAGAAATGTCATTGACAAACTAGCAGTAATACACGAAGGAATTGTGAAGATTATTGGTTAATATCTTACATATCTAAGATTAAAAAAACAATGTGGAGTAACATTTCTTGAGTTACACACTTTTAGAAATGAAAACAAGAAGACAGTCCAGTTGGTAACCAACAATATATGGTCTAAGACAAGTGTGCGTTGAACAACAATTGTACACTGGGATGAAATTAACAAGATCAATAACAAAAGAATTGAAATAATATGATGGCAATAACAATCAGAAAGACTAAACATTGAGGACGTTGTTCAAGAAAACAGGATACAAAGTGATAAAAAGGAATACTGGAATTCAAGATCCAAAGCAAGATTTAAAAAATGTAATTACATCTGCGCTATGGTGAACGATTCTGAGCCGTAATCACTTAAGATCATCAACCACTGGTCACACTTATTACGTGAACCCCAAACAAGTGGTGTGCAACTACCTACATGGCTCAGACCAAGAGTCAATAACTTCATGGTCTGATATCACATTTCAATTTGTCCATCCCTAGCTTTGTATTATTTTTTATTTAAACACATTCATATTGGTACAAAAGGGCACCAGATACATATGCGCTACACAAAATAATGAAAATAGGAAGAGAAAGGATGAAAAGATAAGGGGGACTGAAATGTAGAACCAGAAGAGCTCTCTCAGTTAAGAAAGTTAGAACCACTCATTATGAAGAAAGTAAAATATTACAGCAGGCTCGCCACTGGCTTCTATTCTGAGCCATATCTGATAACGTCTCTAGCCACTGTGTTGCACCATCTCTCGGACCCCAGCCAGGGAGTCGTGAAGGACCAACAGAAGTTAGCCATTTCCAGCTTTCTTTCATGCTACAACACCATGTCATACACTGACCACCTCTCCGCTTTTTCCAACCAGTCCCAGAGTCGGCTTTTTATAAATTTACTACCAAATAATAAAATTAACGAAATCAAAGATCTATCAAGACAATTCAATATATGTGTAGCTTACATTAGGAACTAACTTCAGTTAAACAACCATTAGTCATTCTGCCCTTACAGTATGATAGACAATATGTAACATTTTGTATTTTTCGTGAATACAAGTTGTATTTCGACAATAATTAGTTACTACTGATTAATGAATCCTAAGAAAAGCCCATAAATGCCCTGGTACGGCCGAGAGTGGGAAGAAGCCGCTCTCCCTCTAGAAATGCTCTCACATGGCTACGCGTATATACCCTCTGACAGGGAAGTCCTACTCATTTCATTCTCGTGGCGGGGGTGTTGTTCACAAAAGTGAGAGGACGAAAAGCGAATGTCCGGTGTTTCAACCGGGTTGGTGAACATGGAAAGTTCACCTAGGGCAGTTGGAAAACCCTGATTCCAAACCAATGGTGCACATGGACTCCAGTATCCTGAGGGAACACCAGCTACCATAGGACTGAATCTCCTCACGATGCTCCACTGCCTTGTGGATCAGACCTTTAGGTCAAAGGCTCCGGGTGTGGCCCCCTAAGAAAACCACCTGTTTAGTTTGGGCACCTGAGCAGTATCACAGCCCTCACACAAATCGAATGAGATTTGTGTGGCACATATATCTGGTACCCCTTTGTACTAATATTTAGAACTAATATACAGACTAATACACAAAACATTTTTTAAAAAGTTGTCAGTAAAAACCATTATGTTACCTCAGGTTTTGGTGAACTATGAATAAATAAAATAGTTTCATCAAACTGTTCTTTAGTAATACGATTTTCTTGATGTAAAATCTCTAATAATTCAGTTAACGTGAATAAACTAGAATATAAGAAAAATACATTTATATATGTATGTGAATAAACTTATGACGAATATAAAAAAGTGCGTACATAGATTGAAATTTGAGCAAATATGTAGCAATCGAATCGGTGTACATAATGATAGTGATTCAAGAAGAGAGAAGGAATTCATGAAAAAGAAAAGTATAGGATCATTTTGAAACTCAAGATCTATGAGAAGATAAAGAGCGAATGCGTTCGTGTCATTGAGGACTACTCTAAGCCTTTAATCATTGGTTACGATAGTCGTGAGGAGTTCAAATACAGTTTGTGCTTATCAACATGGCTCAGAGCAATAGTCAGTGAATTTATAGACTGATGCCACATTTTGGTTTTGCCACTCCACCTCCAGCTAGGCACCGATGGATAGCCCACCAAAACCCGATTTCATCTGAAATGCTATAAACACCCTTAATTTTCTGTACCTAAACGAACATTGGAGTAAATCATTCTTTCCAGTACCTTTCGCTCCAAACGCCATTGCGTCCCAGAGTGAACATCTACTCTGAGATGCAGGTACATCCAGCTGACGAGTCCCAAATAGGACGAAACGCGCGCCAAACTGGATTCCACTGCTAGCCACTATCCATCTTTGCTTATCATATAAGCTGATTGTTTGAATACATGAGTAAATGAAATGAATGAAATAAATTCATCAATACAGACTTATTACTACGTTTAACAATTAAATTTCTTAAACTAGATAAACGTTGATCAGCCAACTTCATGAAGTAATTGGAACATTTTACTCACAATGACTGCAGTTTCTAATCTACACTGAATACATACTAGCATCATAATCAGACAAGAATCATATCGATATTATTAATTACAGTTGCAATCACACTCAAGTAACAAACACCAACTTCACTAAATAGTAAACGGTTACATCAAGAAAAAAACACTATAAAGTACCTTGTAATTCTAATATTTTGATCTTTTAAATAAGCAGGTCCTCCTTGTTCACGATCAATTATGATAATTGCATGTTCAGTGTATATACCAGACTGTCGAAGAAGCTGTAAATTACATGATGAATTATTATATATGTCTGAGTGTAATCGAGAAAAAAACAGGCTAGCAACCAGATATGAACGGGGTGACGAGCATTGATAATCAAATGTCGGTCAAGGTCATGATACACTGGTTCCTATCATTCGAGAAACTTAAAAGTGGAAGTCAATAACCACTTTGAGTGACTGAAACTGATAATTCACTGACTTCATAGATCTATAACAGGTTTATATTTGTTCATAGCTAGACCATAATCTAACAAAACCTAATTACAACGGACGTGTTGTAGATCTGAACTTTTGCATTCAGATTAACATTATGAAAAGATCAAAGATGCCCCACATTGACATAAGCCGCTCAATAATAATATCATCACTTATGTCAACACAACGCGTCGATAAGAGCAGTCAGCAGAAACCAGATCACTCTAAATTCAGCATGTTAAGTGACTATCTGCGTTTAATCATCATTGCACTCGAGGGATTGCTAACATTCAGTGGCAATACCATGTTAATAATGCGGAAGTACAGCAACGTGGGTCTTGGTAATGACAATAATTAAACTAGTGACACCATCTCGAAACACTGATTTCGGTGGCTTGGATATACACGACAAATGTCCTTCCAGCGAATTCCACATCGTGCATTATTTGACGACGCTGGGATTGGATGGCACTACATCTTTGATCCGTTTGCCGACTAATATACAGAAGAGAATTATTTTCGATCTAGTTTGAGGCCTTTACACGATAGGCTATCTACCTCAACTTTGAGGTTAGTAATGCGTGAGTACGCTTCGTGACTAAACGGCCTTGAGGGAAGAGAAAAAACTATCCTATTATCTGATTAGTTGTCAAGCGAGAGGACAAATAAACTGGGACACTACTCGATTTATTCCTGATTCAGACTAACACAAAAAGGCATATGAATAAATAGATAATTAACGTGATCAAAACGCACAAAGAATTAGAAAAATATAATCCAGTGCAAACTAGGAAATAGGGTTGCAAAATGAGAAACAAAAGGTCACATTCAAAGCACAATAATTTTAGAACAGAAAAGAGTATGGCAGTGAATCATACATCAAATGAAACCTTATGATTTATAGAATAAACTACGGACAAAACTAGATGTATGTATTTTAAAGACTTTGAATTAAATGAAACAGGGTTCCCAAAATAGCTTTCGTTTTCGTCATTGCTATTTTATCTCTTCACAGTTGGAAAAAACGGAGCAGTGGTTAGTGTATGATGGGGTGCCGTGGTATGATAGAAAGCTGTATAGGACTAGCATCTGCTGTTTATTCACAACCCCATGGTTGAGTTCCTAGAGATGATCGAACACTATGATTTGAGACGTTATCAGACATGGCTCAGAACAGAAGCCTGTGGAGGTTCTGCTGCAATTTTCTTCCTGCTTTTTTATTGATACTTAACTTCCTCTCACTATTTCTTCACAATCACATTTTCTCATTGTGTGGCGCATATTTATTTTGATGTACTTTTTTACTTTTATATGTTTACATAAATAAACTGTAGTATTTGATTCTCAACTACTGAACTGAAGTTTTGAACTCATTCTGTTTATTTTGGTCAGGATAGACGAGTAGTTTCACACAAAAACATGACTAGAAGACTTGTACGTAAAATTGTACTTGATAAATGGGTAACTTCAAAAGTGCTCAATTTCTAAAGATTACCCAACTGATATCGCAACTAATCACTAAAGTCACTAGGATACGGGTATCGACTAAATTATCATCAACAAACCATGTTAAAAGTTATATATACTTAGATAATTTAGATCAATGGATTTAAGCATTTGACATAAGTAATAGTTAGCCTTCAAAATACCCACGCAAGCATACAAATGCACTTTGTCCCTTTGAACGCTTCAACATCTAGGTACCTGGTTTCTGACTTCCAATTATTTGTTTCAATTAAATTAACATACACAGATGAAAACAATAACTAATTAATTGAAATCATTTACCTGAGCCACTGAACAAACACTACTACCAGAAGTGATGACATCTTCAATTATTACACAATTTTGTCCATTCTTCCATATACCTTCAATGATTTGTTTAGTTCCATAAGATTTTGCCTCTTTTCGACACATCACCATTGGAATATTTTTCTGAACAGAAATACACTTTTTAAAGAAACGAAAACAAAAAGCAAAATCTGAAAAATTTACAACAAAAGAGAAAAAAACAAAAATCATTTCTAAATGATTCAGTTGAAGTGATGTCTAGGAAACTTTGAAAACTACAAATGTTTATCAATCTACATAATGAATAAATTGTACGCTTGTTACCTATGGCGTCACCTATAGCAAAGACGAGATATCCGTCTATCAATTAAGAGACGAGTATACTGAGCAGCAGTTCGCTCTGTTCTACTTTACGGTTGTGAAACATGACTATTAAGAGTAGAAGATACTCGTAGGTTACTAATATTTGACCACAGATGTCTTAGAAATATTGCTCGCATCTGCTGCGATCACCGGGTGAGGTTAGACTCAGGGTATTAGGGAATGATAGTAAACTAGTTGACGAGGTCATGAATCTTCATCGATCGAGATGGTTGGGCCACGTGTACGTATGCCTGAACACCGATTACCACGACGCGCAATGCTGACTAGTGAAGGGGATGGTTGGAAGAGAGTTAGGGGCGGCCAAACTGAAACGTGATATCACAGCTTGAAGTCACTAACTTCTGGTCTGAGCCATGTTGGTAGATGCAGACTAATTGGTTGTTTATTTATTATTTATTTAATTAAACATATATATATTGGTACAAAAGGGCACCAGATACATATGCGCCACACAAAATAATGAAAATAGGAAGAGAAGGGATGAAAAGATAAGGGGGACTGAAATGTAGAACCAGAAGAGCTCTCTCAGTTAAGAAAGTTAGAACCACTCATTATGAAGAAAGTAAAATATTACAGCAGGCTCGCCACTGGCTTCTATTCTGAGCCATATCCGATAACGTCTCTAGCCACTGTGTTGCACCATCTCTCGGACCCCAGCCAGGGAGTCGTGAAGGACCAACAGAAGCTAGCCCTTTGCAGCTTTCTTTCATGCTACGACACCATGTCATACACTGACCTCCTCTCCGCTTTTTCCAACCAGTCCCAGGGTCGGCAAATAATGCACGACGTGGAAGTCTCTGGGACGACATTCGTAAAACATGTCCAAGCCACCGAAGTCGGTGTTTCAAGATGGTGACACCAATTGAATTATCGTCTCTGCGTCCGAACACACGATGCCGAACCTCTGCATTACTAACATGGTGTTGCCACTGGATGTCAGCAATCCTTCGGAGACAACGATGATCGAACACAGAGAGACGTCTAACATCCTCAACTCGGAGAGGCCAGGTTTCACAAGCATAGAGCAAAACTGCTCTCAACGACGCGTTGTAGATCCGACCTTTTACAGCCAGACTAACATCACGAAGGCGCCAAAGATGGCCCAGATTGGCATAAGCCGCTCTGGCTTTCATTATACGTGCATCAATCTCATCACTCACGCCACCACCAGCACTTATATAGCCACCTAGATACACGAACTTCTCAACTACTTCGATCTCCTCACCATCCAGGGTGAGTACAGGATGAGAATTCTGCCAGTCTTGTAGGAGTACTTTGCACTTGGAGGGTGCAAAGCACATGCCGTACCTGCGGACATTGATTGCCAACTGATTAAGTGCGGATTGCATGCCTTGGGCATTATCGCACAGTAAGACAATATCATCCGCATACTCGAGGTCGAGAAGTCGTTCTCCAGGCAACATATCCACACCACCATTACTTACATCCATCAGAGCTGTTTCCAGGATGTCGTCGATGGCAAAGTTGAAGAGGAATGGTGAGATCGGGCAACCCTGCCTAACTACACTGCTCGAATGGAACAAGGGAGAAAGGTGGTTGTATGCCCTCACTCTGCCTGAGGTGTTCGTATACAGGGCCTTTAAGATGTTAATGAACTTCTCAGGCACACCCTTCTTCAATAGACAATCCCAGAGAACAGTCCTGTCCAACGAATCGAAGGCAGCCCTGATATCAAGAAACACTACGATTGTTGGCCTGCGATAAGTATGACGGTGTTCTAACATTTGGCGGAGGGTGAAGATGTGATCAATGCATCCTCGACCAGAACGAAAACCAGCCTGCTCCTCGCGAGTAAATCATTCTCGGGTTTTAAACAACCTACGAAGAATGATAGAAGCCAATAGTTTGGACGCAATCGGAAGTAGACTTATCCCCCGATAGTTATTGCAGGAACAACGTGAACCCTTTTTAAAGATAGGGACGACTATTGACTCATTCCAAGATGTTGGAACACTTTCTTGCTCCCAAACCTTTCCAAACAACACAGTCAATTCCTTAGTCAGAAAGTCACCACCATCTTTAAAAAGAGCCGGAGGTAAGTCATCTGGGCCAGGTGATTTGTAGCGCTTCAAGAGTTGGAGTTCCTTGAGGACTTCCGCCTCGTTTGGTGGAACAGTCGTCACCGGCCATGGGGGGGCAGGACAAGCTGGTCGATGTTGCCGGAGCAGCAGGCCAGTTGAACTGCCCTTCGAAAAATTCCGCCCATCGTCCAAGACGTCGAGAGATGTTAGTGATTGGCATCCCGTCATCCTCGTAGATTGTTTCACTCACACCAAACTCCTTGCTGCCAGTGGCTCGGATGAGTTGGAAGAGCTTCCGGCAGTTACCAGATGCAGCTGCTGCTTCCATCTCATTAGCACGCTCCGACCACCAGGCTTCCCGGTCCTTACGCAAGCTTTGCCCAATTTCATTACGTAACAGCCTTCGTTTGTGGTCAAACTCACGGTCACCCGGAGTAGACCGACGGGCTTCCATCAGTTGTAAGCAGCCAGAAGAAACCCAGTGCTTGTAAGCGGGACGTTTCGCGAAGCCGCAAGCGGCTTTACTTGCCATTTTCATGGCGTCGTGAAGATGCAACCAATGCTCATCTATACTTTTTGGTGGGGTGGTAGCTAGCCTAGAGGCTAGCTCCGCTCGATACTTACTTGCAACAGAAGTTGCAGCCAGTTTACTAACATCAATCTGTTGGTGGTGGTCAATCCTTCGGCCACTGAAAAGTAAGGTGAGATTGGCGCAGACCAGGGCATGATCAGACTCCAGATAGGTACTCCAAAAGGAGCGGCAGTCTTGTACACAACCACGCCAGCGGTAGCTGATCGCGATGTGATCAATCTGAGTCCAGGCTTGGGATGCAGAGGGAGGACGCCAGGTGGCACACCGGTGATGACTGTGCCGGAAGTTGGTGCTGGCCAGAAACAGGTTGTGGTCTGTGCACAGTTGCAGCAAACGGTCCCCTTTATCTGTCCTGAGACCAACAAGTCCCCATCGGCCACCTAGACGACTCTCTTCTGTGCCTAGACGCCCAACCTGTGCATTCAAGTCTCCGGCTAGTACTACAATATCTGTCGAACGCGCTTTCTGGAGAAGAACTGTTAACTGATGGTAAAACTCATCCTTGATTGCATCCGGGCTGCAATCTGTCGGAGCATAGGCGGAGATGACGAAAAGACACCGTTTCTCACGCCGATTTCTTCTCACTTTGATGGAACTTTCTAATCTAACAGCACATAACCGACTGTTAATGGGAATCCAATCGATTAGTGCTGCCTCAGCTCTAGCACTTAGTGCGACACCAACGCCAGCAAGACCAGACGAAGATGCCACATGGTACCCGGATAAGCGCACGTGGAACAAGCTTTTCGAGGCGACAGATGGAGAGCGGATTTGTAGTACTTCACTAGAGTTTTGAATACGGGTCTCGGATAGACAACAAACATCAACATTAAGACCTTCCAAAGACATAGCCAGCCCTATCTGTTGTCTGATCTGCATTAGTGTGCGAACGTTGAAGGAAGCCAGCTTGAACGGCGTACGTGGTTTCAGAAAGACTGCTTCAGTATTCATAATCGGTGGAAGCATTCACTTTCAACCAGACAGTGACTGGAAATCGTTTAGATAGGACAGATTTTCCACCATGGGCGAGCTGCTGCATAAGTTGAAAAGTAAGGTTACACAAATTGGTGATAAAAGGAGGTGAGTTAGCGATATGGTAAATAATAATAATAATAATAATAATAATAATAATAATAATAATAATAGTAATAATAAAGGTAATAATAATGTTAATTGTCTTGCTTTTAGTATGAGCAGGGATATTATCGTCAATAGAATTCATCATTTCATTCATTTGTGTGTGGGCTGTGATACTGCCCGGGTGCCCAAACCGAAGCAGGTGTGTACACTCCTTGTCTTCCCTTAAACCATGAGATTAAAATTGCTTTATATCTTACTTTCTACCAACTGATGTTTTTGCCCTGTACTATATCCTTATACACAATGTTTCTTTTATATAGTACTACCATTGAAGTAACCACTACTATGAATTTGGTGTTCATCTTGTTGTTCTAAGGAGGTATGGCAACTTGGACCGATGCATAAATGTGCGTGGTCCTACGTTGTAGCTGACTGACTGATGTTTGCTAAAAGATAGTTTGATTGTATACTTGGATTCCTCAGTAGAACATGCCAATACTTTTATTAGGATCGAGTACAAGAAGTTAATTTCGTTTAAAAATAGTGAATTTCAAAATTAGTCATTTTAATTATATAGTCCCCAATCTGTCGTGCACATCTTTCATATTTTTCTTAATGATATTAAACGATATGAAGAGCACACATTATTCATGTATCGTATTAACAAATAAAACCAATTAACTAATAACTATTTATTGGTTACTTACCCGTGACATGTTCCAATGGCATGAGACTAATATAAATCACTCAGTCAGCTACAATGTAGGACTACGCACACATATGCATCGGTCTAAGTTGCCATAGCCTCACCAGCACAACAAGATTAACACCGAATTCATAGTAGTTAATTTAGTGGTGGTATTATATAAAAGAAAGGTTGTATATAAGGATATAGTACAGGAAGGAAGATAGATATGAAGAAATTTCAATCTCATAGTTTAAGGGAAGACAGAGAGCGTATACACCTACGCCATTGAGATCGATTCTCAGTCATGTCACCCAGAGTCTCCAATCATTGGTTACCGTAGTCACGAGGACCCTAACGAAGTAGTCTGCATCTACCAACATGGCTCAGACTACTACTATTATAAATACTCTAATTTAAATAGTGCAACAGACCAGATCAATAGCATGAAACAAAGAAATCTGATAGAACCAAAAAACCTGTTGACTAGCAGTGTGGATACAATAATGCACAAAGAATCATCAAAGACAATAAGGGATTATCAAAAACCAATTACTAAAAATTACTCGATTACTTATCAATAATCAATTAATAGTGTATTAATCTCCCATAAAATTATCATGAAAGTGTATAGAACCAATCAATAAGGTGTTGACTAATTGATTAAAGTAATTGACTCTTTGACGTACTGATCTTCAGTCACTCCCTTGGACCCATTCTAACACTTTATCATATGGACAACCGGTTAGTATCACTAAAGTAATTCAAACTTTAAGATATCACAATTTATACACTTGCATCGTAAATTTTCTTTTACACACATTAGCGAACTATTTGATCAACGTTAGGAATGTTGGTTTTACTTATATAGCTTAGGAGTCATATAAATCCTCACATTTTACAAACAATCAAACTATTATTATATCATCATTTTCAGTCATGTAGACGACAAACTGTGTTATTGTTAATTACGACCGCTGTTTATCTTATTGATCAAGTCAATGATATTTCTTTTCTAGGCTTATTTTTCAGCTAGAATGCCCCAGAGAAAACTAGATAGCTTTCTCGTCCTAGTATTGGACTCGTTCTACCAGTGTACACCTGAAAACTCACCAAGATTCGGAAATAGGAACATTTACAGTTTGCTAATTATTGTTTGTTTTCAGTAGTGAAATGTATTTGTACAATAAACCTGTGTGATTGGATTACAAGGGATAAGATATCAATAAACATCGGAAATTGTGTAAAATTATAATGCAGCATAATATAACCGTGAAACAGTTTTTTTTCTCTTAAAAAAGTATGCAAATTACCGCTGCTATTGGTAAGGCGGCATATGGAACACCACATATAAGATCTATTCCATTATTTGGCAATAAAGCGATAAGTGATTGTGCAATTTCATCCTAAATTTAGATACAAGTAAATAAATAAATCTAATCAGAATACTCTTTTATTTAGAAAGAAAAATAAAGAAAAAGACAATTGGTTATATAAAAATAGATGGAATGTGAGTAGCAGTGAAATCCATGATGCATGTTCCGTCCCATTTGGGAATCACCAGCTAAGTGCACCTGATATTCATTCGGGGACTCCAGGCCAGTATCATGAAGATCTACTCAGCTAGTGAATCCAGGTAGTCACTGATTTGTGTAGCGGGGTGTGGATTTTAATTTAATATGTAATGGCTTGGGTCATTACATTGGCTACATAGAAGCAATCTGCATAGACTGTACATGTGCTAACCAGGACTGATCAGATTTCGGTCAAATTAACAGCAACGTGATAATCCAAATCACTACATAGTGAGTTTTAAGTCCTGCGTTAGATGTCATAAACAGGGATAACCGTTCAGTGTCTAGAAGTCTCAAGTTGGGACAAAGAATTTTTCTGCTATTAGTTTTGTTTTTAATTGCTTTCCCAGCTGAAACTGATGACAAAAACTAGCTTTCCACTTGCATTAAATGATAAAATCATGTATTGTCACGAACAAGATTGTTAGTTAATAGACATTTATGTGTGTTTTGACGAAAGCATCTATCCATATATTAACTTTTTATCGTAAAGAAATTTTGTTTTCAGCATACTGATGCATCTATAATTGGTTGTGACATTTAGATTGATGATTACTAAAAAGTAATCAATGGCATATTAATCCTTTAATGTTGATTGGATACTACCGACCAAGTTGCACATGTTGCTGGTCTAAGTGATCAAATATTGATGCTGAATGGTTAGAGATAATCAGCAGCAGATCATAAATATAGGTTTCATGTTAACTGGCATTCGACTGATCAACACCAAGGACTAGACAAACGTGACATTAGTTACTACTTGATGACATATCAGTGTAAATATCCAAGTCGTATAGGTCAATAGTAGACCGAATGCACAAGTGATGACATTTAGGGTTATTAAATCAGATGGAGCAAGTTCAATTCAAATGGGCACAATCAGTCCTTTCAAGATTGCAAGTAAGCCTATCTGAAGAGTCCAAACTAGCATGAAACATAGGTTTACAGCTCCTTTGTCAATTATCTCCGACTACTTAACATCAAAAGTCATCACGTTTGCGTTAATCCATCGTTGATAATTAGGATGACAATCATTACACACAGAATATGAGTATATTAGTCGGTAAATGTGATAAATCCCTCCTTTGATGATATTCACGAAAATGCAACAGTAAAGGTGAGATGAAGGTACTTTAGGCTGATGAGTTTCAAATAACCAGGAAACGTAGGTTCCAAACTCTTGTGTTAGGGATGTTAAATTGTTGGGAAATAACTTACTCATTTGATTACTTGATTATTTTCATTTTTCTAAATTTTAATATCCCTTATATATGCCTATTATTCACTAATTCTTTTATTACGCTAAACGTTCATCCTACTTTCAAAATCATTATGCACATATTGATACCTTAATAATGTTTGAATGAATCAATCTATTTTGATTGCTAACAAGAAATCTTTCTTGCAAGATAGTCTTTTGAAATAGGTGAGAGTATAAGAGGAAAGGGATTTGAGGTATCCAGGTATGAAGCACAGCTAGGAATTATTGCCGCTTACATGGAATATAAATCACTCTGCCAGGCATTTTCGAAATAAAATCAATTTTTAATTCTAATTATCAAGATATACTTTCAAAGTGTGGTGTGGATTACTGATATCCACATAAGTAGTATACGGTGATGGTCGGGAATTGAATGTATTTCAGTAGAAGATCGTTAAGGAGAGAACGGGAACGGCACGCAATTGATACGAAACTGTATGAACAATTATAATCAGAGACTATGGACGGATATTTGCAGAAGAAACAGTCAAATTGAGACAATTGATTGTTATTTTACAAATTAGCTGTTCACTATATGGTTCTCATATTTTAATGAGATATTCTGTAATGTTATGCTAAAATATATTTGATTGTCCCCAGTCGTGTTCTTGTTCACTAAAAAAGTACCTACATGCAGACAAAGACTGATCTGTTGGGGATGTTAAATCCCTAGAACTCACTTGGTAAATGGCTTAATTTTGTAATTTTATTTTCAAAATTTGAACTTAGCTGTTTTCGCGCCAAAGGCACTGTTATGTTGTAGCGAAGACATAAGTACGGGTAACTTGCAGGACCTAAAATTGGACTATCATTCTTATTGTATAACTATTTGGTAACTAGATTATCTATATCTATATTCATTTTATTGTAAGCTTCATTTTGACCTATTGATTATTATTGTATGATTTACTGTTCCTAAGTTATACTCAGTTTTATTGATTATTGTATCCCACGCTTACAGCCTCATTTGGCCTGGTTTTGTACAAATATTATTTTCTATTTTATGGTGTGCTGTGGTCTGCCTGTCTGGTATATAGATAAAGTATGCTTGAAATAAACGATTCGCATTACAGCAGCTGCTATTGGTGTTTTGGACTCAAGTGGACGGGTTATGCGGATAAGGACCAATAAGGACGCTAGATTACTCATACTAATCGAACGTCATTGTCACAGTGTGAAGGTCGTAGAAGGCGTATTCTATTGGTGGATAATTTACGCGAATTACGTCCTTGTTAAATTCGTAAGGTCATAACGAATCAGCGGCGACCTTGATCAAGTCATAACAATTGGCTACCGCCTAGGTCAAAAACATAACAAATTGGAGACGGCTAGGTCAAGTCATAACAGGCACTCTTTTCACTTTCAAGTCGTATTTCCCATTTGTAAAATATCTTAAATGCTATTGGTCCGTTGTATCTTTGAGTGTGCTATTTTGTAATGCTGTCCAAGGACAAATTATCGCTGTAAATATACGTTTTAGTTTTTTCCCTTATGACTTGCTTGTACTTGGCTGATTACGGAATATATACTTCCCCTACTTCACTTTGGACTTCTTACTCTAGTTAGCGGACTTGGGAAAACGGATTAGATTACACTCTCGTATCACTGTGTCATTGGCCTTCGTTCGTTACCGAGAAAGTCGACTTAGCTCAAGCATATCAGATCAATTCAGTTTTGAATGTTAACAATAGTAAGAATATGAATCCCTTATAAAATAATACTACGATATTCACTTTGCAAATCAAAAAATCTGATGTAGATGACAGAAAAATAAAAAAGAACTTACCATAAATTTAGGTGAAGAAATAAGAATTCGTAAATCAATATAGATTGGAGAGATTAAACCGGATTTCAATTGATACTTTCCGAATTTCACTACACCCATATCGTAAAACGTTAAAGCTATACGACTTCTTTCCATAATCAAATATTACTACAATTAGATAAAATTGAACAATATTAGAATGAAAAGCAACCCAACTGTAATATTGTTATTTAACCAAATGGGTAGATGTCAGAGATAGTATTGTTTGATCATTGAACAGTAAACAATGCCATGTTTGCTTAGTCCTACAGAATGTCAAACAATGCTTGAATAGCTGAGTAGAAGTAACTCTGATTCTGAATGATCCACTATCAACTCCAACCACATAACATTTAAAGATATCTGAGTGTAAAGAATACAAATAGCAAACTTGGAAACGTATGAATATTATTCAAGTTTGAATGAATAATACTTATATATACCGAGTGAGAATATCGAAGAGAAATAATCCTTATTACTTAGAACAGCATTTATTTATTATTTATTTAAACATATAAATATTGGTACAAGGAAGCACCAGATAAATATGCGCCTCACAAATCTCATTCGATTTGTGTGAGGGCTGTGATACTGCCCAGGTGCCCAGACTGAAGCAGGTGATTTTCTTAGGGGGCCACACCCGGAGCCTTTGACCTAAAGGTCCAACCCACAAGGCAGTGGAGCATCTTAAGGAGATGCAGTCTCATGGTAGCCGGTGACCAACAGTTGGTTCATACGGCATTCGTTCCTTCAGGATACTGGAGCCAGCCCATGTGCATCATTGGTTTGGAATCAGGGTTTTCCAAATCCCCTAGGTGGATCCTCCACATCCACTAACCCGGTTATAGCGCCGGACATTCGCTTTTCGTCCTCTCAATTTCGTAAACAACAGTAGTGCCACGAGAAGGCAGTGAGTAGGACTTCCCTGACAGAGACTATATATTCGCGTGGCCATATGAGAGCATTTCGAGAGGGAGAGCAGACTCTCCCCACTCTCGGCCGTACCAGGGCATTTGGGGGCATGTAGAACAACATACAAGTAACTTTAGCAAAATAGTATCTTCATTGATCATTAAATCATTAGTAGTACGTGGAGCCAGGAAGATTGCAAGACAGATAATAGATAAAGCCATCAACAGTTTATGTGGTAATGACTAGTATAGCATGGTCCTACGTTGTAGCTGACTGACATAACATTAAGAAGAAAGCAGATATGTGATAGAAGAATACTCTTTTCAATAAATTCACATTGGTTCCGATCGTTAGAATTCATCGAAATAAGTCTTTATTCGGTTATTTTTGAATAAATATTCAATGACTTAGCACAAAACAAACCCAAAGTTGGGAATGATGTTAGACATGTTAACATGTGTAGAGGTGTGAAGTAAAAAATGCTTTCATCATGATGGAAGAGACTATTCAGTTAGTCATTAACACCATACACTACATTTCTCAGGTAAACAAGCATAATAACCATTTGTAGACCAATATAATCAAATATGCATTCCTTGTGCATGGAACGATAGTCTGTTAGTCAGAGCATTCAGTTGTTAACAAATATGTCATGAGTATGAATCCAAACTATCCAATTCAATTTCGACAGCTGGATAATATCATCGGCCATCATAGAAACGATTGTGCTCAGATCCGAGTACATAAACTCTTACTTGATGATATATGAATTACATTGACGAATTTCACATACAAGTCGCGATACATTTGCAATGTAAACAACACTTAAATATTCCACTGATATCATGAACTGGTTTGAGTTAGACTACCATGAAAAATCTGAAAATACTGAAGTCAGATCGATTCGTGATTTCAATGAAATTCAATAATCTCCATAACCTCATACTGAAAAAACCTATATATATTTGTTAAGTTTTTGAAATGAATTTATGAAACACACTCTGTGTAATGTAACTGGGAAAGCAATCATGTCAATCGAACAATTTTGGCTAGCACAGAAATTAACTGCCAAAGGAAGATATACCCAAAAATTTAAACAATTTCTCTTTGCTGCTCTAAACTTTTGACTTATGAGATGAAGGATAGATATCTATTCAAAATCCTATACCCTCCTATTAGAAATAATGAGTGGCGTCCCAAAATAATCCTGTTTACTGACTAATAATTTGCTATCATTCTTCACCTACTGACTGGAATGCATACTTTCAAGTCAATTTTGAACCATACTTTAGATGTGGAGTCTATTAAGACCACCCGGCTGCCCAAAGTGCAGTATATGTTGGAATACCCGAACCTAGTAGTTGAAAGCCGAGTACTGTCACCTATTAAACCATTAGCTTCCTCAGCAAATATAAGACCGTAAAAATAAAACCGTCCAACAATCGATCATATAAATTTTAACAAACCGCTTAAACTGTCCACGAAGTTTTAAATGTTCACAATTGTGTAATATTCAGCATTTTCGATCATTTTTACATTCATTTAGTGGATATGCTTTATGAAAAAGTGTAATTCTTTTCGAACGATTTCATTTCATGAGGATAAAGTTATCCGAAACTGTTTCTATGAACATTTCGGACATGTCTGACATATGCCAAATGAATAGCACAAATATAATAGAAATTACACTCAAATTGACAACAACCAACTATTAAATGAATTGGAAAAAGTATAACTGAAATTTGCTTGTTACAATTGACTAACAAACAACATTACTCTTGGATCGACAATAAATAACCTAATCAAAAGGGTAAAATAAAAACTATACACTATAAAATCATAAATCATTTTATTCAATAATATTTACAGAAGAATATGTTGTAGTCTTCCCACCCCCATCTCTCTAAAAAAACAAAGGGGGAAACGAAATGCAAATAGAATTAAACAACTAACTACATCAGAAGGTAAAACAGAGGGGTAACTTGTGACAAAAAAAAAAGTTTTTTTTAAAAAAAAAGAATAAAAAGAGAAAAAAATTTACAGCACAGTAACCAAAACTTATTTACAAAATGTACAAGATTAAATAATGATACCTCAGAAGGGAAAGAAGATTAAAAAACATTTGAATTTGATGAAGTTTCTAATCCAGATTCAAAATCATATAATTCTTCAATTAATTCAGGTCTTAAAATGAAATTATTAGAATAATTTAATTTATTTAATTCATGTTGATAATTATTATTATTATTAGATCCTACTAATTGGATACGATTAGAATATTGAAACCAACGAGATAAATTTGTAATTAAACAAAAATAATCAGGTAAACAATCAGTATATAATTGAAAAGATTGATCACCATGTCTCCATAATAAACCAATTAAAGCACGTGTTAATTGACCAAAAGCAAGTAGACAATACTTTTGTTTTACTAATAATGCATGATATGTAAATGTAGATTGATAATGACTTGATGATGATGATGATAGTAAACTAGTAGGAATAGTTAATAAGGTTTGTAATGGATAAGTTGTTAAATGAACTAATGTTGAATAAACCTGTTGGAGAAAGAAAGAAAGAGAGAGAGGAATTTATACATAGAAATATGAAGAACTACTTTAATGTATACATGATTCCAAGTAATTATTATTTGAAGGAAAAAAGGGTACCTTAGACATTAAGGTGAACTTGTTCTTAGCTTACAGTAATTTTGAATTACGAACAATCGGATTCTATTTATGTAAACTAATAGTACAGACAATTAACGTATTGACCTAAACACGAACATTGTTACAAGGAGACACTAAATATATATGCACTACACAAACCATTCGATTTGTGTGAGGGCTGAAATACTGTCTGGGTGTCCAAATTGAAATAGGCGGTTTTCTTAGAAGACCACCTCGAGCCTTTGACCTAAAGGTCTAATCCGTAAGGCAGTAGAGCAACGTAACGAGATGCAGTCCCATGATAGCCTATGTGCACCATTGGTTTGGAATCAGGGTTTTCCAACTCCACTAGGTGGAGTCTCCGTGTCTATCAACCCGGTTAAAGCACCGGACATTCGCTTTTCGTCCTCTCAATTCGGTAAGCAACACCCCCACCGCGAGAAGGCAGTCAGTATAACTTTCCTAGCAGTGGTTGTATACACGTGGTCATGTGAGAGTATATGGAGAGTAAGAGATGACTCTCCCCACCCTCGGCCGTACCAGAGTATTTGGGGGCAATTAACACATAACACTTTAACACTAATTATCAATGTGATTGAATAGAGAGCAATTAAGAAGTTAGCACAAGAGTATGTATCTAAAAATGTTAACATTGTGACAGAATAACTCTCTATTCACGAAACAACAGGAAATATGACATTGAGAAACAATAAAGGTGAGAAAACAGTCAGAGGGGGAATAGGAATTAGCAACAGATTATCACTAGCTTTCTTACACGTCTTCTTAGTAGAATCTTAGTGAAAATTTGCAAGATTTCATGATAAATTATTGAATTAAAATACATTTTCTAAATTTTGAGGTTAAGGATAGTTTTCAGTTAAAGGATTGTATCTACTGGAAAAGATGTAAGGTGGTTTAAATGTAGATAGTAGAAAGCTCTGGTACCTAGGTTTTATCTTAGTTTACACATACTATCAAGACGTATTAGTTACGTTGGAGATAGTCAGTAGGACATCCTGTAACTTGGTTTCATCGAATGAATTAGACTATAACTTGCATTGTAACTTAATAAAATTTAATCAGAAATAAAGGACTGGACTGACATAACATTATTCACTGCTCAGTGACCAGTCGACCGTTATTTATTTATTTATTTAAACACATAAATATTGGTACAAGGAAGCACCAGATATATATGCGCCACACAAATCTCATTCGATTTGTGTGAGGGCTGTAACACTGTCCAGGTGCCCAAACTGAACCAGGTGGTTTTCTTAGGGGGCCACACCCAGAGCCTTTGACCTGAAGGTCTGATACATAAGGCAGTGGAGCATCATAAGGAAATGTAGTCCCATGGTAACCGGTGACCAACCATTGATTCATTGGCCATTTGTTCCCTCAGGATACTGGAGCCAGCCCATGTGCATCATTGGTTTGGAATCAGGGTTTTCCAACTCCCCTACGTGAACTTTCCATGTCCATCAACCCGGTTAAAGCACCGGACATTCGCTTTTCGTCCTCTCACTTTCGTAAGCAACATCCCCGCCACGAGAAGGCAGTGAGTGTGACTTCCCTGTCAGAATCTGTATATTCGCTGGCCATATGAGAGCATTTCGAGAGGGAGAGGTGACTCTCCCCACTCTCGGCCGTACCAGGGCATTTGGGGGCAGTCGACCGTACGTTATTTTCGTAGTTGAACTCCTATGGAGTTGAGATATTCAACATTAACTGACTAATCTCTTGCAACTAATGTAAAATTGTTTATATGGTAGCAGGCAATCACCAGAAAGTCGTGGAACGTTTTAGAACTCGGCAGCCGGATGTACCTGCATATAAGAGTTGATGCTCATTTCAGGACTCCAGCCCAGTAATGTTCGTTTCAAACA